ATGTTGAATATTTGTCTGTGACGGAGCATGGGCTCATCCTCCAAATTTTATCAGATTACTTTTCGCCGTAGTGTGGGTGCTTGCTTGGAATTTTGCAGTATGCGTTAGGCTGTATTTGCAGTTGATATTTTGTCGATGCATTTTGTGCCAGTACTTCTTCAAAGCAAAGCAAACTCCCTTTATAGAGAGGGGGCCGCTATACGTTTTTTCCAGAATTATGGAGTTTCCTACGAAACACAGTATTGTACAGTTTTCTAAGATCGACCTTTATCCAAATGAAGAATGCGTTCATGGACAATCAAAGCTGTATTCGTGTGGCCCTACCATCCTGAAAAAAGGGGATTCTGGCATCCTGCTGATTCATGGTGAAGTACAGCTTCGTAGGATTAACCACTTCGAATTCACAAGTATTAAGAAAACCATAGAATGATAGAATCAGCTCAACCAATGCCTTAATATAGAGATTTGTCGTTTCGGTCTTGAGTAGCCATTTTCCTTCTTCAATGTGAGCTGCACGAGACACTGCCCTTTGTACAAAACTCCAGTGCCAAGCTCCGCGCATTAATGTCTCGCTTACAGTGGTGAACTGCAGTCACTCACCAACATGGGGATGCTTATAGTATCTTGCTATAGAGCTACTTGACTAATGTACACCTAATGTAAGGACTTATGAATTAATTATTTCAAGTGTAACATTGTGTTAGGCTTCCATCTGAGGCCATTTTTCAGGCAACTAAGTCACATGTGGAAAGCAGACAAAGCACGCCAGTAGCATACTAGACTTTTTTATTTGATAACGTGAACTAATGATTTTGTCTCTTAATGTAGGTAGCACAAAGTGCCAATCAGTTTGTTCCTAGAGCCAATGGCAGAAAGACGAGTATTTGGTGCTCGCAGACCTGCAGAGATGCAGCAGTGACAAAATAAGTTTCAGCCCGCAGCCCCCCGCCCCCTCCTCCCTTCATTTGTATACAGACACTTCCATCACTAACTCAAGCAACACACAGTATTCAGATTAAACGTAGACCTTTCCTTCAGCACAACAACAATTTCAAGAACAACCTGCTTGCAACATCTACCGACAGCTTTTCTTGCAAATGCAGGGACTCACCAGCAGCTTCGCGCAGGAGCACGTTCTAAAGCAACACCCAGTTTTCCAAACTTCGGCACCGGAAATCGGTCATCGCCACACTTTTGCAAACTTTCTGGTTAGACTATGGGGCATATCACACAAAGGGAAGTCATGTTTACATATGTACAGAGCCCCAAGCAAAACTCCTTTTTATTTCCACCATCGTGTGCTTGACCTGCGAGTGCATTTATTTGATCGCATGCGCATTCCCTAGTGGCCGAGATGTATATGTGGTGAAGGTGTAGCAACTGATGATGCTTGCTCTATATAACCGCATGCATGTGGTTGGGTGGGAGAAAACTCTGATAAGTACAACACAAACATGGCGCGGAAGGTTTCATACTAAATAGGCCGAGGCTCGACTTGCACTGGCTCTCTCACCACAGAGCTGGGACAGCTAACAGTGCAAGGTTAATCTGTTACAAAGGTATATTTGTTGAATTACTTCAACTGGTTTGAGTACAAGCTAAGAGAAAACCTAAGCTCCGCCGACAGAACTGTGACACGGCTGCAGTTCACCCGTGAAAAACACTCGTACTGGGTGGTTTCCACTGGAATCGTAAGTACTTTAGGAGACGTGTAAAGGAGACACAAGATGCGATTGCGGAGCTATTCCATTCCTTTTTTTTCTATGCTTTTTCGCTGCAATTAGCAGTCTGCCATTTGTCGAAGCAAGCCTTTTGCGCGCTTTGACCAATTGCACACGGCTAATGGTGGTGAAAAGCATAGAAATAAGATATATATGGAAAGTTCCCCAATTACACCCTTGATATCTCCAATGCTATTCACACGTATTTACAGGAGATTTTTCGGGGCCCTAGATTGGCAAGAATTGGGAATAAAAGTTTATGGAGAGTACCCCAATAACCTGCGATTCGGTGACATTGCCTTCATGAGTAACTCTGGTGATGAACTAAAGCTCATCATTATTGAACTGGACACTCTAAGCAGAAGAGTAGGTTTGCCCATCTGGATTGTGCATCTATGTAAATTCTCTCTGCAGTAGGGACAGCAATGACTGTGAGCGGAGCAGACATATTTTCTTAGGTTGTAGCAAGTAACTTCATTATATTGTGTAGATGAACTCATCTTTTGTTTTTTGAGTGGCCCTAAATGTTGTACTGCTGTTATTGCAATGCTCAACCATCCTCTCAGCTCTATGCATATAGTCGGTGTTCGAGTCGCTCGTTTATGCAAATGTGCTATCATGAAAATGTAGCTGCGCCGATCATACAAGCTCGACTCCTCCATTTTATTGGGATAAAGTGTACGGATCCTTACGTTTACAAATTAGAAACAGGTGCACGCCTAAAACCCTCGACAAGAGGGTTGCCTGGAGCCTCAGTATTGCATCGATATTTAATTTTCTACCTCTTCCGCTTGCTCCAGTGTAGGGTAGTAAATTTGATACAGCCTGGTCAACCAGCCTGCCTGTGTAAAGATGTGGATCAGTTGGGGGGGATACTTATGGCATACTACAATCATGGTCATGTGCATCCCTCCTCAAAAAGAGAACAATGTCACGAAACTCGTCAAGTAAGTGAAAATACGAAAACAAAAAAACTAGGCATAGCAAGCACTTGAATAACAATTATTATTATAGTTATTAACTCTCGTTATCTAGAATAGCTACAGTACGATAACAAGCCAGTGCAACTCAAGCCCCTAGCCCTTATGTTAGCTGCTGGCAACAATAGCTGTGGTAGTCTCGCAGAAGGTTAACTTATTGTGCTCGTCTGACATTATTTACAGGAGACAACAATTTTCACCAACTCTCATTATAATTGGTCTGTACATGAGAGTGCCAATATTGCCACTTTGGGTGTAGCATACAATTTTTGCCTGCACCATCTGTCAGAAGCGCACACAAAAATTCGCAGCATAACATTTTTGCTGCAATGCGTAGGTTTTTCCTGAAGCTAAGAATGGGAAAGGAAATCCGCATAGATTTCTCGGAAAGAAAAGCCTCTTAGTTGCCAATGGATTCGTCCTGTTCCCGGGACGAATTCCTAGTGACTTCGTACTACAAAAGTGTGGTTGCCTTCTTTCCCTTTCTTAACCCCACCTTGCGGTTTACCACACAACTCGTTCTTGAAGCTGCGTCGGGGATGATGACTCTATCATCAGCATGCCTTAAAAACCTGAATGCAACACAGGCTCAATGTCCCTCTCATTTGCAACAGCCTGTGCAATCATCCACACTTCTTTTATGTGGCCCATTCTGTCAACACCTATCTATTAACATGCAATGGGGTATATGGGAGCAATAAGCTTGGAGTACTATTTCCTCGAATCATCGTTGTCAGTGTTACTCATACAAAAACCTTTACCTTCTTTTTTTCGATAATGACGTTGAAACCCCATTCTCATTGACAGTAAGAATTCATGCCATCCACACTGCTGTTGCTTGCAATAATAGCACCCCTAGGCCCCCTTCTAACTATGAAGCGCAAAGAACATGTGATGGAAAACGGTGGCATTGGACCATTCCCTTGTGGCCGACTCAAATCGGTTCTCTCAAGCGACATTGCTCTATTCACAAACATGCATTGACGCTTGTCGTCAACTTTGTTCTGTCTAGGGAAGTAGCTGTTCGATAATAATGATTGTTGGAGTTTAACATCCAAAACCACCATATGATTACGAGAGACGCCGTAGTGGAGGGCTCCCGAAAATTCGACCACCTGGGGTTCTTCAACGTGCACCTAAATGTAAGCCTCAAGTATTTCTGCCTCCATCGAAAGTAGGTAGCTGTTTGACTGAGCGGCCAACTGTGGTGCAGGTTTAGCAGCGATTCTTAGCAAATCCTGCAGCGAGTCTTTTAAGAGGCCCTGCTTGAATATTCGTTGCACTTTGAAGGCTTAAAATTCCCCCTTGGTAGATAAATTTTTAATGAGAATGTCTTCAGCAATTTCTATATTGAGGAGGTGCTTCAGATGCATCCCTCTGGTCCAGTGGTTCAGAGTTTATGCTAGAAATGCCCCTTAATGGAATTACCCGTACAACTTGGTAACTGCCGAAGAGCTTTACAACAGCACAATGTGACTACATCAACATTTGAGAGGTGGCACTCTCATCCATTAGGCAGAGTTTAGGTGGAAGTACTTTGTCTAAGTGCGTGTGTGAATAGAGCAATCACCCTTTCAATCTCTTTGCTAGAAATCGAGCACTTCACATACAAATGTCATGTCAACCGTTCGAAAATGATTCAGTGCGTGTGTATCTGAGATTCCTTGCAAAAAAAAAAAATGTTGTGACTGAGTTGTTCCTTGGATCAACAATAAAGCAACACCTTGTCACATTTATTGGCAGTAAAAAACAAGAATTTTTATGCCTTGCAATGTTCCCTTTCAATCTAAATGAGTAATTACCTACATCACACTATGCATAGGTTGTCAGAATTGTAAAGACCAAACTAATCAATAAAAAGGTCAAACTAGCTACTGGATTGTACTAATTGCTAGAGGCCTGATCTGCTGACAAAATGACGCAGCTCCGTGCCACCAGCTAACATTTACTATGAGATTGGTCAGCTTTAACTTTTGATTACTTATCGTGTTCGACCTGTCAAATTCTTTATTGCATGAAGACATTCTTCGACTGCTGAATAACTTCATTTTTTTTTGGTGCAGTGAGGCAGTAATTCCAGATAATACGGTAATCAAATGTAAATGCTATTGGCCCGAGAATTTGTGTAAACGGGTTGAAACTCGTGCACATCAACACTGTGCTTGCCTTGGGGTACATTATGACGATTATGACTGGCAGTGCCAATCACCTGGGGAGGCAGTGCCAATCACCTGGGGAGGCAGTGCCAACTGGCATTGTGAATGAATGGTCCAGAATCTACAAAAATGGCTCTGAAACACTGTGTTGCAAACAGGTTTTTATGGCAGCTAATCATTGCGCATACTGTGTTGAATCAAACGTGTTGACACATGAGTAACAACTTTTCACCGGAGAGCAGGATTGTTCAAAGACAAGATTGCACATGACAACTGATGAATAGGCGTCAGCACGTTCACAAATTGACACCGCTAAAGCTTTCACATAGGCAACAAAAGTGGCTGCCTAACTGGCTACCCGCTGTCCTTCTGTTAATGCATTTTGTGTCCATATATGCTGTGAGCAACCAATTTAGCTTACACGAACTGAGAAACCGAAACCGTCCTGCCAATCTAGTAACGCGACATTTCCTTCTGTAAACCCAAATATTTCCTTCTGGTAATTGCTGCCGACGGTTAGTGACAAGCCTTGGTTACTTCGATAAAACCTCGTACTTCCTTTGTTTATGGCCTACGCGTCCACAGCAGTTAAATAGACAACATGAAGAAAGGAGCAGCCAACCTTTCACACATATGTACATTCGTTCTGACTTCGAAAGAAAAGATCTCTTAAATAGAAATAAATATATATATCCTTGTCTCTGTGTACATAAAAAAAAGGAACATCACTAAATTTGTAAAACACTAAAACAACAAAGGTAAATTGCAACTTCTTTTCGGAGCATCACCTTGACTTGATGCAATAAGGGCATACCAGGTTTGTTTTGGCCACTAAGAAAGCAGAGGCTGCTGTTTACCTGAGCAAAAAAGTGTTATCCGGTTCACCGGTGCATCGAGAATATGGGGAGAAAACACGGCACTCAAACCGCATGTGAGCTCTACGTTGATAGCGTGCCGTTGGCAACAGGTACAAGTTACGTTAAGGTCTAACAGCCGCCCTTTCTCTCAGTTTTTTTTTTAGGCGGGTGACCAGCCAAATGGAACTCGACGCGTTATTTGGCGATGTCCTGATGTTTGTGGACAGTGAGCATGGATGACGTTTTCGAAAGAAAAAGAACACGGACGCATCCTGCCCTGTGGCTAAAGTTGCAGAAACGTTATGAAGACTCCGTAAGACGGGAAGCACAGCCTTGGGATGTGTGTCACCCTTGCGTTAGAGGTCCTCGATAGCTCCAGTCTGAAGGAAGCGGTGTGTCAGCAGCTCCTCCGCAGTAGGTCGTTCACCGGGGCACCTGCAATGTTATTGATTAGTACACTCCAAACTGCATTATAACGAATACAGATATAACAAAATATTGGTTATAACTAAGTAGATTAAAAATAGTCTTGCAGTAGATACACAGTTAGAAATAACGTTTATAGCGAATTTTTTAATATAACCTTGATTTCGGAAGGGGCACTTCCTTGAAATTGCCATTTTTCGCTCACTATGCCATGGCAAAGAGGGGGGGGGGGGGAACATGTAGCGGTGTGTCACCCCCTCTATGCCCCTGGCGGTATGTGTGTCCTTTGCTCTCAGTTTTTTCTGTGAAACCATGCGTGCGCATGGTGTAGCCACCGCCGATGTCAAGCTTTCTTCTTTTTTCCCGTTTTTTCTTTTTTTTTTTAATGCGGACAACCGTGTCACCTTAGAGGGGATGTCAGACTAGGTGCTGAGAAAAACACTCCAATGACGGAGCTTCGGAGATCGACTCGTCACGCGCTTCCGTCCGTCTTGCACCGCACTGCGATTTCGCGAGACTGTAGCTTATCGCGATTAGCCCTGGCGACAACACGACACATTGAATGCAATGCGATGAATGCAATAGCAACAAATTTTAATGTTAAATGAAGTAAGGCTGGCTGCCAACCCTCTTGAATCTGATATTGTGTCGATCTAAGCAAGAAAGGCCGCTCCAGGGAGAAATGCTCTTTTCGCATTGAAAGCGCACGGATGCTTTTTGAGATAGCATGCGTGCCAGCGGTCGCGATCCTCCCCCCAACCTCGACGTTTTTTCATGCCTGTTCAAGACGGCTGGCTTCCTTTTTATTTGGGCATTGGATGGCAGTTCTAACATGCAGAGGGATGTTATTGTATGCACCCTCCAGCTGATAGAGAAGGGCCGGCTCATTTGATCTCTGCTTCAACAGCGCTCGCGCGCTTTTACCCGCTCCTGAAGTTACGATGCGCAGGGGCATGTTATCGATTGGAACTTGTTACGGGACATGGCGGCGATGGCAAACGCTTGCTGAGAGTATTTATGATTGCTATAGGCAATAATAACACACTTTTTACCGCAAAATAAGTGCTTTGGGTAGGTCTGCCTTCAGAACCCTTTTGTTTAATTGGTGTGTTTCCATCTCGAATTTTTGTACCGAACCTGCTTATAATGAAATCTTCTTTATAGAGAATTTTCCGGGAATTTGTCCATTTCATTATATCCTGGTTTAACTGTACAACGCTTTAACGCTACAAATTGCTGCAGGCAGCTGCTACTCAGTCGAAAGCGTTTTCGATCGCCCATGCACAGAACGACATGCTCAGGCAAAATGACGTCAACCTGGCTGCTGGTCTGATTGGTTGTGGAATGCGTGGAAGTAAGATGGGCTGGTAGAGTGGTGGCACCTGTCAAACCAGGTATACACCAACCCGTGATCTTTGTCTCTGTTGCCGGACAGTGTGCGTGCTCCGGGGCGCACTGTGTGATGGCCTCCAAGATCACGTGCAACCTTGGAGGTCTAGACTGTGCGAAGTTCAAATCGTTGAGTGCGCTCACGAGAGCTGTGTGATCCCCAGCCATGCCAGTGCGTCTCATGAGTCAAGAAGGCAAGGCAGTGGCGAGGAGGAGGGCATGATATATAATTGTCCGTAGCGGCCTTGGTACAGGGCATGTGGCTAAACTTGTAGTACGAATGGTTTGATGATGCTCTAGCCCAGTGATTCTCAATCATGAATGTTTTGGGGACCCCTTGTGGACTGGTGGAAGTGATGGGGGACCCCTCGCAGCAGAGGGGAGGGAGGGGAGTACGCACGTAAATTACAACTGGAGCGTGAAACAGGTGCCTTTTATTTATCACTGACCAAAAACATCGAATGTGCCACATCACTTCGCTTTGGACAGTTCATCAATACGTGGCACAGTCACGCTCAAAGAAAAATGCGGGTAAGGGTTTTGCAGATCATACAAATGGCTTCGTGGACCCTCTAGGGTCTGCGGACCCCCATTTGAGAACCACTGCTCTAGCCTAAATGCTGACAAAACTTCAAAAAGCCATTTCAGGGTCCGTTCACTTTTTTTTTTTTTTTGTTTCATGGAGCTGTTTCGAAATTATGAGTCCTTATCAGCTAGCCCGACTGTCAATCCTGCTTAAGCGAACTATAACAATAAGCGTACACAATTTCCTTAATGCATTAACAAGCTCAGTAAGGAGAGACCAACAAGGAAAATGATATTAACTACTAATTAACTACAGTGTTCCTTGCATACATAAGAATTGCAACTAAGAAATACAAAGGAACATCTTGAAAAGGCATTGCAGTAGACTCTCTGTAAACTAAAATCTGTAAAAAAAAAGAAAAAAAAAGAATTGCTGCCTGAATGGAACAACTGTCTGTGATATGATTGGTTTTGTTCCTGCACAATGCACTTCTCTTCATCTCTCGGTAAGGAAAACTCCTGTTGAATGGAACATATTTTCCTCGTCCCTTCAGGTTCCGTTTTATAAGTGCCAATTTGCAGTTCAATCATCACCGATCAGCATTGCTTACCTCCAACACAGCATTGTCCCATCTTATGAAATACAGACAACGGAAACTGTTTACAAGGTGCATTTACGGGAGGAGCACCATCTGGAACCAAGGTGGATACTAGCTAAAGCTCGGAGCATAGCCACTCCACTTTTCACCATCTCTAGCTTGGCCAGTCTTCAAAGCGCATGTTTTATCGCAACAGTACTCAATTACACGCTCCTCACACACACACTAACCTCACTATAATAAGGCTGCAACGTACACGAAAATAAGTTATGTCCGAAATATCATCATAAAAATATATTCCAAACACTATGTCTACTGCAAAACAATTTTTAATTTACTTTGTTCTAACCGATCTTTTGTTATATCTGGGTTTGTTATATATATCAAGGTTTAAGTTTATATGACATGCATGTATGCACATTATGAAGGGTGCAGGGTGAGCATGGAAGTGCTGAAAGAAAAGTACGACGGAATGCGAGGAACGGAAAGCAAAGATGGACAACATGAGCACTGCAACCCCTAATAACATGCAATTCAACAAACTAGCCAAAACAGCCGTTCTTATCGTATGTATGCACAATGAACAAATTAAAACTTGCCTCTTGAGGCAGGTGAGAATGAAGTCTCGAGCATCAGAACTGATCTGGTCTGGAAATTTGGGGTCGCTCGTACCCTGTCCGATGGCAAAGGCTGCAGCTAAGGGAGAAAGCTCGTACCTGCAAATTGAAGCTTCCTTTAAGAACTGAAACTCGAGCCCCGAACCACAAATAAAGTTCTTGGCAAGCAAGAGTGGCCTCACGTGACATACTATCACACTTCGTTTACTCACCAAGGAGGCTTTGTCTGGAACATCTCGATCACAGTACAACCGACGCTCCTGAAGGAAAGTGGAAGAACACAGACGATCAACCGGTGCAGCTTCACAATGCACTTAGAACTTTGAAGCTACTCGACTTCAGAACAGTTTGCAAGCAAAAAACAAGCTATATATACTATGGTGAAATAACAAGTACCACGAAAAACAAAAAAACTTCTTTTTTTTATACTGGTTGTAGCTGCAATGAAGCCTTAAAAATTGCTCAATATAAACGAACGTGTGGGTTGTTTAACATTATTTAGATAAAGAATATTGATCGAGACAGAGAAGAAAATGTGCAGGTTTTTAATGGATGACACCACAGTGCTTTTATATTCCTAGAAGGTGTATCACAGCAAAACAGCTTGGTACCCACCAAGGAGAACTTGTTCCTTCATAAATCTGTTAATTACCATGATCCAGTTGGAAGTACAAGGGGTTGGCTTCATGTACTTGAATCTATTCATGTACTTGAATCTGTTAATTACCATGATCCAGTTGGAAGTACAAGGGGTTGGCTTCATGTACTTGAATCTATTACTGGTCACATGGGTACTTCTAAAAGACCATCCGCTCCATGACCATCCAAACGCCACAGCTCTATTGACTAGAGTGGTTCAGGCGTTTAATGAAAAAAATTGTGTGACGCCGTACATCTTTACCTTAGTTTACTTGTCGGCAAAAGTTGAATACAGTCGACGTCCGATTTCTTGTATGCCCGAAACTCCGGACATGCCTAATTTCCCGAAATTATCTGTGGCACCATCAAGTTCCCCATAGGCTCAATGTATTAAATAGTCCGAAATTTTAGATGTTTATAGCGTTTGCCATCCGATTTTCCGGATTATTGCTAACCGTAGAATTGAAGCCACTATCGACGCCGCCATTTTGCTTTTTTTTTTTCGCACCCTGGCACCAACTGCACCACGACTGCCGTACCCTCGAAAACGAAAATGCCGCAATCCAGCGCATGCCAATCCGTTGCCAGTCGTAGCTTGGGCCACATGGTGCTGTGCAGCCTGTGCTGCGACAGTTGGAAAAGCTACGCTGTTGACTTATGGTCTGCCGTCGGTATGCTTGCAGACTCGTGGAAAGCTGTTACACAACAGACCCTCTGGAACTGTTTTCACCACAGGAGCTTCATACTGGACGCAGAGACGGCCGTTTCGCTCTGAGTGGACAGCGTGTTGGACGAACTTCCACCCGCGGTCGTTGCCTTCTACGATCTGCATGTTGCCGGCGTTTCGATTCCAGCCGGGCTAACCCTTGAGGGCTTCGCCGACACTGACAAAGACCTCGAGCTGTGTGCGGAATTGACCGATGATGCAATCATTCGTCAAGTTGCGAAGGATTCTGACGACTTAGACACCAAGATTGAAGAGGCAGTGCCTACACAGCAAACGAGCCCATAGTTGACGCGATCACTGACATTGTCATCGGTGTACAGTGACAGCAAGACGCCAACTAAAATTGAGGCAGACATCATCGCGGGTAAGTGGAACGTTGTGCAACCAAAAATAAGCATTTTTTTTTTACCCTAAATGTTTACAAATGCAGAGTGCCAGCCACGCTGGATTTTTTTTCTTTTCTTGCTTTCGGCACTTTTCAGAGCCACCTAAACGATGGAATCGTTGAATTGCAATGAGAACCCTGTACTCCTGCCGCAACCCTGTCTGTCAGCAAAAATTTTCTTTTTGTGTGTTTTTGCTTCCATTCGTTTTTCCGGAAGTTTTCACAGCCCCTTGAGGATTCAGGAAAACTGATATCGACTGTAGTATAAATCCACTGAAATGCACAAAAATTTCTGGTAGTTCGTTTAATCATTTCAATAAATTGTTTATATGGAATAATAAATACATGTTTAGTGTTTAAGTTGTTGAGCAGCGAAACTGAAGTAAGACAATGTGGGACAGCACTATGAAGACAAGCACATCCCTTTTGCTGAAACGTGCAAACGGCTCCTACTCTGAAGTGGCAAAAATGTCATTAAATAGTTTACAATGCTCACATACATACTGCTTTTGATGCATACTTATTATATTTTAAATGTTTATTAGATTCTGAGTAAGAGCCCACTGTGAACGAGAGGGCGAATTCACGCTTTTTTTGCTTTTGTTGCTCAATGGATACAAAAGTTTACAGTTGAACCCCTTCATGAGAGACACGCACCGGGCTGCAATTCTTGTCTTTCACATGAGGTGTCTCTTATTGGCAGGGTACCACATATGCATTTTCTTATCAAACAAAATTTTAAGGCAGGCACACTGGTGTCACTTATAACCAATTGGTCTCTTATATCAGTGTCTCTTATTAAGGGGTTCGACTGTAATGGAGTTGCGGGGTGCTCTGTTGACTTGGTAGGCCATTGACTCGACAACCTTCAATACCACCCGTGTGGCAACTCGTGCTTGACAACCGAGTCCATAGGCCATTGGTTGAAAGGCCTTTCAAAGGCCTTCCGAATTCCCGCTTGACACGGGTACCATAACAAGAGCTAGCCACTCGGTCACCTTTTGCAACAGCAACAGTGATGCATCAGGGGCAGACAACCTACCAGACGTCTGACTTGTGCGAGCACTCTTCCTGGCAGATCACCTCCGGTGCCATCCAGTAGGGCGTGCCCCTGGCACTGGCCACCAGTCCCTCACAGTCTGCGGACGAAGGCTCAAAGGTGGCGCACCCAAAGTCGATGAGCTTAATGGTGCCCGTTCCGGGACAAACCATGACGTTATTACCCTGCCAGGGAGACGGACATGAGCATTGGTTGGCACACTCAACTCATTCTGACCCAAGATTTATTCCGCGAAATTTCAAGCATGTTTTTCACAAGCAATGCCACTGCCATTAAAGTCTGAAACACATAAAAAGCTTCGCTTGAAAAGAAAAACGTGCATACCTTAATGTCTCGATGGATGACATTCCGCTGGTGCAGATAGGCTAAAGCCTGGAGGAGCTGTCGTCCGTATCGACGTACCACCGTCTCGGGGAAGGCTCCAAACTGGGCCAGGTTGGCGGCGAGGCTACCACCAGAGACAAATTCGAGAAACAAGTTGACGAGTGCCTCTTCCTGCTGCACGCCAAGGAAGCCGACGATGTTGGGGTGTTTGAGCGATTGCAGAATGTCGACCTCTAACTGCACGGCCGACAGCACGTCGGCCCCACCCAGCTGAAACTGCTTGACGGCCACCAGCTCCCCACCGGACTTGCGCAGGCCGCACCATACCAGGCCGAACGCTCCTTTGCCTGTAAGCACAGCGTGTCAGAATAAGCCCCGATTAGTCTTATTATAGCATTTGAATTCATTTTGATATGAACTTGGATTACCCAAAATTTCAAATTATTCGAAATAAACACATGTACGCTATTCCATAAAACCACCCATCCAGGGAAAATCTACACTGCCACACTTTATGGTTAAATGTACTAGCACTGACACTGAGTGAAACTCTAACAACGGCAAGCATTCGCAGTGGTATAGTGTACACCCTACAGTCATCATCATATATGCCTAGTGCTGCCGAACTATATGTGCACGCCTGTCACTGAAGAACATGTGAAAGGCTTAGATCATGATAATGTTAAAGGCAAACATGGTAGACATAAACAGCCAGAATTGTTGTATGACAAGCTAGACAGTGTATCAATTCACAGAACGCACTATTTTTACAGATTGCATAGTAACTACAACACCTGGGCAACATTTGTTTAAGTCGCATCAGATGGGAAATAAGTTGGTTAAAAGCAAAGTTCATTATCAACATAATATCCATAGCATTATATAAAAGGCAAAGTTATTCACTACCTAATTCCTTATAACCACCAATTTGTTTTATTTCTCATTATGTTTGACCATAGTGCTTTCACACAGACTTAAATGTGTTAATCCATCAACTGAGAGTGAAGACATACCAATGAGCTTTCCCTTGATCCAGGGAAACGGGGGTCCCGAAGGAAATGCAGGGATGTCGTGGAGGTTTTTGGGCAGCGGCGGCACGGGCGCACGCGGCTGCTCCGGTGGCGCGTGCTGACAAGCCGCCGAACCTTTCCCCTTGGCGCTGACCGTGTGGAATGCAGAACCCTCTGTCCCACCGCTGCTCCCCCGCTTGCCACAGGTCAACGTGTGTGTTCCCTCGGGACGGATTGATTTCGCCGCCGCTGTAGATGACGTCGATGGTGCCGCCGCCACAGGTTCGTTGGGCTTGGTCACATCGGGTGCTTCCTCCTTTCGCGGCAGCGACAACCGTGGCGGCTCGTCCCCACCCTCCTCTGGGGAGAGGGAGGGCAGGTACACCCAGGACGCGGACGAGAGGTGCGACGACACGTCGTCTCGCGTCACCCACGGCGGCAGGAACTTGCTCATTAGTCCCCTGGTGCTTGGCACTGGCATGCGCGATCCATTGGGTCGCAAGTGGCCGCCTTCCTTACTCTTCGTGATCAGCGAAAACTTGGGCTGCGCAGGTGCCGCCGCCATTGGCACGGCGGACGACGTCCCGGGTGCCTTTGGCTGGCTGGCATCCTCCGCAGCCCCCAGCGACACATCCGACTGCTGCCGCCCCGCGGAAATGGTTTTGGGAGGCACTGTGGCCGCCACGTCTGGGATGCTGCGGCCTGTCAATTCGGGCCGCAGTTTGAGCCGGCTGAGGTGGTAGTTCTTGGCGTAGTGCTGAGTCTTTTTCCGCCTCTGCGCTGCTGCAGAAGGTCGCTTCCGCGACGCAGACTGCTTGTGTTCATCGTCACCGGATTCGGAGTCGCAACTGTCACCGCCACCACCGCCACCGCCTCCTCCACTTACTCGATGCTTGGGCCGCACCTTTGCATACATCTCCTTTGGCACCACATTTTCACTGCTGCCACCGAAGACCCAGGCTGCCGTACGAGCAGACTCTGCAAGGGGGCTCTCCGTGCGTGCCTCCAGGATGTTTTCCTCGACTTTCTTCTCACTCTCAGATGCAGAGTTAATGCCGTTCTTGGCCTCGACAATGACGGAAGCCGTGGAGTGTGGATCTAAGGGCAGCTCCAAGGGTGTGTTGGAAGGCATGGTCTTTTGACGGTGGTAGCTGTTGTTGTCGAGCGTGCCTTCGGCGCACCATCCGTGCCGCAGCTCGTCATCGGACGAGTGGTCACGCGGTCGCACGGGAATGAAGTGGGAGCCTCCGTGGGACGACTTCTGCCGCCAGCCCGGAATGTGGTGGGAAGGCAGGTTTTGCGGCTGGTAGCGACGAAATGCCGACATTGACGGGTCCCCTCCGCGGAGAACGGAGTGTGAGCTCGTTTTCGTTTTCAGCACTGCTTCGGCCTCTGGCTCGCTTGGCTCTTTGTCGCTGCTACTAGAGCCCTCCTCCTTGGCAGTGGAGCTGCTGCAAAAGAGCGAAGTGACTGTCATGGCACGGGGGACTGATGTACGTAACGTAAAAACTCGAATATAGGTCAAACCGGATTAATAAGTCAACCCCCAAATTTGAATCTCCGAAAAAATTTTTTTTTTAAGAATCGTGCCACACCCTCGCCTCGATAAATACACGACACAACTAGTTCCACTATTGTGACATTCCTTTTTATTTTGACGCTAATCTTGTGGAGTTAAACGCCAGAAGGCCACAAAGTTCTGTCACTCAGACTCATCTGAGAGTCTTATGACGTCTGTTTCTCGCTAGTTACGAGTGACACGGTATCCTCATTTGAAAACGTCGCTTATCTTTGCCGTTTTTGTGAACCATTGCCAAGGAAGAGACCATGACCACTGACTTCATGGTAAATTAAGCACCCTGGTTGTCTAACATTCCATTACATTCCCTGTGGTTAAAATTTTTGCTGAGTGAGTCAAATTCAGTTTATGAAGAAATATAGCATGAATCACAGTAAAACATTCGGATAGCTATTTGAATTTTAAAATAAATTGCTTTAGAATACTCTACAAATCATTCCAAAACTTCCACTTGCCTTAAATTTGGTCTCCAGAACCATGTCATGAAGTTATGTAATATCCATGCACTTACAAGCAGTTGATCATAATGAGTGTCACAAAGGGTAAATTATTTATAGAAATTCAATTTAAAGGAGTCACTGGCATGAAATAGACAGTTGCATTTGTCTAGGAAACAATTAAGCCCTATAATGGTGCGAAGGTTCAAATAAGATGGGAAAGAGTCTTACCCAGGGGAGCTCTGTTCTCCAGGAGCAGAAACATTTCTTGAGTGCAATATGAGTTGACCCAGCTTTCTTTTTTCTGCATTTACAAAAGAGGAGCGTTCGCTTGGATTCCTTTGTGAATAACGTCTAACAGCTGTCACTTTACAGACATCTCAGAACAACTGCATGGCAGTATAATAGCTTCATTAAGTCCACATTGTGGTCATGCAACTTAAGTGACCAAACTCGTTATCTATCAGCAAAGGTATAGACACAGAGGCAAGTTCAAGACTGATGCAAGTTGAATAGAAACACACACAGGTTCTTCTATGCATTCGGCTAAGGCAACTCGAAGGTAAAAACCGTCTTCCTGTTTTTCTCCTGAGTCGATGTATTGATCTCGTTTGATTGATGTGTGGGGTTCAACGTCCTAAAACCACCATATCATTATGAGAGACGCCGTAGTGGAGGGCTCCGGAAATTTCGACCACCTGGGGTTCTTTAACGTGCACCCAAATCTGGACACATGAGCCTACAGCATTTTCGCCTCCATCGAAAATGCAGCCGCCGCAGCCAGAATTCGATCCCGCAACCTGCGAGTCAGGAGCCGAGTACCTTAGCCACTAGACCACCGCGGCAGGGCGATGTATTCATTTCACCCATCCTGCTGCTCTGAAAGCTCTTTGCACCTAATGCGGTTTAGCGATTCCTCCGTGATGACCCGTATTTGAATAAGCAATGATATCATGTGACGACGTCATCATGTGATGTCACAAGATGATTTTTTTTAATCAGTTGAGCTGACACCACGAGATGCCGATAGTCAGCTTTCGCGTTTGGTGAGGCACCTAAAGCTTTCACCTAAATTACCTTTAAAAGAATGGTACACAGCGCAGTCATGCAGTACAAAAAAAATAAAATCTAAATCGAGTGCAACATAGAATACTTACTGCGTCAGTGATCTTGTCAGCTACCTGTTACAGAAACGATTAAAACACACCAATCTTATATTTTTTTTTAGGGTGAGCACCTTTGTTTCAAAACGTTGATCCATTTGGTTACTTATTGACCTACCATGCTTATACGATTGCAGGTCGACTTATCAAATCTTAAATTGAAATCCGAAGCTGAATTGAATTCGTTTTGGTTTTTTGAAGATATTTTACACAAAATTTTTTAAATGAAATGTGCTCGTGCTCCCCCTCACCCCCTTTTTTTTTGTCGTGCAATTTTAGGGGTGTGGACCTACATTCTAGTCGACTTAAAATCGTGTAAGTACGGTATGCATCTTCGCCTGTATGCACCAGAACTGCATTCGTGAAGCCTCTATGTTGAATTTTTCTGTGGAATGAAAACGTGCTCACCGTGCTCCAGAGGTGTGAGCCGAAGCTTGTCTGCCCTCTCGCAGAGGGCGCTCTCCACAGCTCTCCTCAGCACACTGTACACATCGGTGCTTCCCGCACAGCAGAGGGGCGACTTGCCGTCCTGGGCAAAGCTCAGCACGTCGGCGCCGCGCTCCAGGAGCAGCCGCACTGCAGCTATCTTGCCAGCTGACGCCTGCAAAGACCGATGCCACCTTATGTGGTAACAGTAGGGAACACCACAAAAGGTGCGAGGCATGTGATCTCCCCACAGCAAACTTGTTGAACTTCGTGGATTGTTGTCGTTAAGTCCCATTGAGTCACCGATGGCTTCTGGTAACACACTGAGTAGGCCTGTGCAAATACTCAAAATATTGGTGTTTGATCATGTATAAACTTCGGCATGAATTTTAAGTTCCGAAATATCAAAAACATCACAACCGAATGAATCAATGCATTGTACTGCCAGTTATGCTACCGCTATTTTGGTCAGAAATGATTTCTGCAATGTTGCTTTTGAATTTGCCTAGAAATTATTTCATACTATAATTACCATCTAGTCCAATTTGGCTGCATATGAATAAAGGAAGAGCAAGTTGAAGTTCTAGGCAGCAAACTGTGTACACACTAGCATTACAGTGAGCCGGAGCCTTCCACAAGCACACACTATATAAACACAAATAAAATGTGAGAATACGTTTTTCTTAAAGACAACCTACTGGAGGGAAGTTGTGCTGTAGTAAAATAATTGAAACTGCAGATGTATGTACAATCATACTTCGTTATAACGAACTTCTTTTTGTGTAAGATGCAACTTCAAATATAATCAGGTTCGACTGTACAATGCAGTTGAAAAGTGACAAGTAAAGGCATTAAAGTGAGCACGCTAGGCCCAAGCCACTTTGGCCAGCGATATTTTGTGAACAAAAGCTATGCAGGCAGCGCAATGCTGCAGTCATGTTTTGACTTGCATAAGCGAACTTCCATCCAAAACATTTGTTCAAATTGGTACTATAGTATTCTTTTTATTTTATTTTGTGAAAGAACTCTTTACTTAACTACTTTTTTTCCTTCATGTGATTGTAGAAAGACAAGTTATTGCAAGAATATTCCAGACTTTGTTAAATACATGACACTTTTTTCAAGTTTTTTTTTTTACGAACAATTAAACACAACATGGCGCATAGTGCATCAAACTTTGGAAACTTTGCTGATTCGGGCCGTTTTTGAAGTTTTGTCATGTTTCCTTTTTTTGTGGATAGTGTCGAAAAAGCATGGAAGTAATTCATTGTGATGCTTAATAAAAGAAAAAAAAAATCAACATAGCGCTTTTAGTTTGTCGTAATTTCAGCCGCAAAATTTTTAAAATGCTGTGGTTAGTAACTGCGGAACGTTCGTGCCACCACCTTCAATGTTATTTGGCTGGCTCGAAAAGTTTTCAGGCAATAAAATTTTGGGCTCTGTAACAAAGAAAAAAACCTACAAAACAAAGATGTCAAGCAGACACGTATGTTTAATCTCTCGTGGAATCGCCCTGTTGTAATAGACTGATGGCAGCGACGTGTAACAACCTGCTTCCATGCAAAAATGAAAGCTTTTCAACTCACAGCAAGATGGAGAGGTGCAATGCCTCCAAGGCCTGTAGCGCTAGGATCAGCCCCGGCATCTAGCAGAAGCTGTATGGCGTCCACCGAACCAGCTTGGCTTGCAAAATGAAGGGGCGAGAAGCCGTGCTTGTCCTTGATATCTGCAAAGTACAAACAACGCAGCCCTCTGAGCATTACAGTGAAAGTGCCACAGCAGTAGTAACGGTGGCCCTTAAGCATTGGCAAAATCGTAACCTCGGGCTATGTCTAAAATTTAGTAATGTGATGAAATGGGCTAGTTGGTTCGGCCTGGCTTTGCGATGCGCTTACGCTAGAGAGACACTACAAAGGACAGGCTACACAGAAGACGGGACAGGCGTTCGCTCTGTTAAACTGTGTTCTTTGTAATCTGTCTTACGGTAGCGTCTCCCTACTGTAAACGCATCGCCAAGCCAAGCTATAATTCACTATCATCGGGCATTTCCAAGAACCTTGGTTGATGGCTCAGTGTTTAGAGGTCTACTGTTACGCAAGAAGCATTGCCGAGTGACATTTGCATGTGCTTGCACGGAGATCTTAAACAATGTGCACCTTAAAAGAAAGCCCAGTGTTTTCCACTACAAACCAGTACAGTCACGTGATCCCACACTAGTTCTTCTGGAAACCACTCCAACATTCACCTACCATGTTCCTGTCTTTTTTTTTTTTTACGCTCTTTAATAACACCAATCATGCAGAACAGTTAGCCGATCTTTCAGCAAAGCATTGAAAGAAGTGCCACGACATCTGAGAGACGCCTTTCAGATGTCATTGGCTTCACAGGCAATGATGACAAGTTTGCTCGGAGTGTATACTAATTGCAGACACATATGCTGAAGGGACCGTCACGTAACGAGAAAATGCTTCTCAGCTTGTGTCATGCTCTCACCAACTTTGGCCTCATTCTGAAGAAGGAGGGAAATGACCGGTGCTGTGTGCTCGCAGCACGTGTGGGAGGCATAGTGCAGGGCTGTCCTTCCCTGCCGGTCCTGGTGGTTGACATCGCGGTGAATGAGTCTGCGCAACCATAGAAGGAAGAACCAAGCCAGCAAAGAAGATTATGGGTAAGTGCACTTACGAGCCCCACAAAGTTTATATTACGGCGTGCATGGCATCTTCATCAAATTGCACTAGTGCGCACCAGGGCACCCTAGTGTGATGTTTCATCTAATCATTGTAGTGCTTGAGCGCCCCAGTGCAACTTGAAAAACTGCCATCAGACCACTGAGGCCCTGAACTGCATATCTTTAAACTCCACCCATTCAATTACATTTTCCAATAAAATTTTACAATTACATCTCTGTGCTGAAAGACATGACTACACATGAGCTATTAGCACGTTTTAGCAACTGCGATTATGCAATCCCAACAAATGTATGACTCGTAATATCCGAGACCTAATACATCTTAAAGAGACACTAAATTTAAATAACAATTTTCGTGAGAGTGAAAGCTCAATGTATCAAATCTAAAACGACAATATTATCAACAGCAGTGCACTACTTATCGAGAAATTAAGGTAAATGCACGAGAACACATGCGCCGCACTAGGACATTCACAAAATGATCCCGATGACGTCAGAGTTACAGCCTGCAATGAATCACTAGTAATCGAACTAGCTGCACTAAATAAAAAACCTTCTGTGCATGATAAGACGTAATAAAATGCTGCTTGTTCGTTTCTGTTTGATTAATGCAAAAAGGAACCGCCGGACTTTACTATGAGAAATGGAGCGTGGTTCGAAAGTTCAATATTCGCCTTGTTACACTGGACAGGTCGTGCCATCCAGAGGGGCACAGTTGAACCAAGCATGCTTGCCATCTTGCAGGCTATGACAGGAACTTGTTCAATGGCCGTTACTTCTGCTGTGGCTCTCGCTACTTTCGTTCTGCTGCCACTAGTTTCGGCGGCCATGCAGTAAAGCCAGGCAACATTGTACACGGCAACAGTGACATGACACGTTCCGCTTAAGGCAGGTAATTTGAAGTGCGCTGACCCGATGCGGACCACTAAAACGTGATTTTATTTCAAAATGAGCACTTCCTTGGCACAAAAGTAGCACTACGAGGTTTCTGGACCGCTTTTTCAACAATCAACTTAATAGTTGCCTTCAGTGTTCCCCTTTAAGGGTCCCCCATTTTTTCCGTTTTGTAATGGATCACAAACGCAACTAAGCTTTCTGAAGTTTCAATCAGTGCGGGTGACACCTACAAAACATAGTTTCTTCTTTAGAATGCTACGGAGGCGGAAAGTTTGTGGGCCCGTGTGCTCAGATTTGGGTGCACATTAAAGAATCCCAGGTGGGTGAAATTTCCGGAGCCGTCCACTACGACGTCTCTCGTAATAATATTGTGGTTTTGGGCGTTAACTCACACATATCAATCAATCAATCCTTGGAATGCATACTTTAGACTTCAACCACTCCTGGAATGGCTTTTCGAGGGCTGAGCTATGTCCACAGAAAAAATAACGACACAGTGGACTCTCGTTAAGCATAAACTGAAGGGACCAGAAAAGTATGCTCCGTTTAATGAGAGTTCCGTTTACGGAGAGATGAACAGGGTTGCAGAATACACATACAAAACCAATCATATTAAAGACATTTCTTCCATTTAGGCAGCAATTCTGCATCAGAGATTTCTGTTTAGTGAGAGACTTTTTCTATTTTCATGTACTAATTTTTCACACACGTGTAGAGGTGTAACAATTACTTGTTTGGTCAATGCCGATAACAGCCACTCACATTCCATGGTCAAGCAGAACTCGTATCACGCCCAGAGGGTCGTATGAGCGTAGCACATTTCCAGCGGCGAGTTCCTGGAAGGTGGCCAGGTCCCGGCAGACGAGCACCAGCGGTGTGGAACCTTCCGCGTTAGTGCAGTTGATGTCCAGACCCCCGTTTCCTGTCTGGGTCAGCAGTTGTTGGACCTAGCCAGGAAAGAGCCACATTTAACTTCTACTAGTGCAAAGAAAGAGAGAGAGAGCAAGTTTGACGATGTGTGGAGAGGTGAGACTATGACATAAGAAAAAAATGTGAGTTTTGCCTATAGCCATATCCTTCCCACAGAGATAATTGCTCCATCCAATAGTACTTACTCATTTTCATGACGTCAAGCACTTCTTGAACATTTCAGATACAGTAAAGCCTCAGTAATGTGTGCTCGATTAATTGGTAATCTTAGACAATTTGTATTATTTATGTGGTTCTGAATTTTTACATGTAAATTTAACTGGATAGTCAGTGCGGCCAATCAGCCACTTCCCGGTTCACTGGGACACTTGGCCTTTCATATGCCAATCCAATAGCAAACCGTAGTGGTGCCTAAAAGATGGCTTCACAGCATTTCAGATGTGTCATGTGACAAAGCCTACACAACGTATTGCAGAAAAGCATACAAAAAATAGTGGAGGGGAAACATTCGTTTCCTTTCCACCATTTTCTTGCACAGTATAGCACTAAAAAACCCAAACAATATGTACAGGCATGCCTTGAGAGGTGCTTCAGATGTGGCTGTGGCAATTGGACAACTCAAGGGTACTAAAAAAAAGCATAGGTATTTTTCCAGACAGTCTCGTGGCATTCAAAGAGCTCAGAAAACCAAACATGGACAATGTTTCTTTTTCTCAGGACGTGAAAGAATGTTTACGCATGCATGCATGCATTTCCAGGTGGAAACGTTTTCTACAAGGTCGAAAAAGGCTCTCACATCGTCCCGCTGGCCACTCCACGCTGCGAGCAGGAGCCGTCGCTCCTCGTTGCTTCGGTGGGGGCTCTCCTTGAGCAGGTAGTCGGGAAAGCCTAGCACCAGGTGCACCAGGGAGGCCGGCAGTGAGTCGAGGCAGTTCTGGCCCGTGTAGCTGTGCAGCGTCGGGTCGGCCCCGTGCTGCAGCAGCTCACTCATGGCCTGCGAGAACAAGTCCCAACTGTGAGGCAAACTTTCTCAGAGGCATCTGAAGGGTTATAGGGACCCTGCAACGCTTTACCAAGTAATAATCGAATTGCCTCATTAAAAAAGTTTATCACCTTGTGAACAGACCGTTGCATGACCTTTAGGAATATGTAGAATATGTCAAGTATTAGCACTGTTACAGACATTTGTCCCACGCTTTGAAGGGACACCGCAAGACTATTTCACCATGTGGCCAGAAAACACTGCTGATCAGTAGTTGAGCCAATTATTATTGTTCTTTTTTTATTTGCATACACGGATACACAAGGACACAGAGAAAAGAGGGAGAAAGCAAGCTGGCAACTGTTACCTGGAGGGGCACGACGCCTGCTCACTCTTTCGGGAGGGGGGAAAAACAGAGGAAACGAAGATAAGAGGGGAGAAAGAGCAAAGAGGGGAGGGAAGTAAAGAGAAAACGACAAAGACTTAGACAAGTATAAGCAAAATAATTTTAAAATTCGACTATAATTGGGTGGCCTGATCTGTTTGGTCCATCAAAGTAAGTAGAGCTTGATGGGCCTGGTCGCGTTGGGAAGCACAACCTCCCGGAAGGAAGTAATCGTATAGGGTCGTGCACTTAAGACCCAGGAATTCATATCCCTTAGTCAGCTAAGCCAGCTGCGTAGCAAATGCGAGACAATGCATTATGAGATGCTCAAGTGTTTTGCAGGAGCCACAAGCAGCGCACAAAAGACTGTCAACACGCCCTTTACTTGGCCAGCCTGACTACTAGGTCGCACGTACTCCTGGCACAACACGTCGGAGCTCGAAACTGCCTCAAGGTGTCGCCCCACAGAGCGAAAACCAACTGGTCATGCCATCTACACAGACGTGGCCTCCGCAGCTGTTCTTCCTAAATATGAAAAGTATACGCAAGGCAAAAAAACATTCGACAACCACAGCACTTACATCGGGGTCTTGGACCAAAGATGCCACCATGAGAGCCGTGTTCCCTGTAGATGGGTCACGGGCATTGACGTTGACCCTGTGCTTCTGCAGCAGCCGGCGGATCTTTTTGAAGTCGCCGTCCTGGCAAATACGAACAGGAAATTAGTACCAATAAAACCTGAGGAATTAAATGCTTTAAGGCCCTCATGTGGTAGCTGTACTTTAGAAGGCACTAAAATACACCTTTATAATAGCATACTGCCATACATTTATTTTATTTTAGAGCCCTCCTCATTTTTTGTTATCACTTTCTTAAGGGGGTGGTGCCATTGAATTTCAAGGCCATAACAAGTCTCTTGTGGGTTTCATCTGTATACAAGGACACTCCACACGAACGGTCGGACACAGCCAATGTTTAGAATATATTTTAATTCACTAGCAAAGTGTACCCAAATGCTCATTCTACTGATCGAAGCCCATCACAAGCACTTCCAGCACAGACATAGCTCTATATGAAAGGCAACGAAGGTTGAAGTGACGTCACACCAGATCTGTGGTGAGCATAGGCATGTGTTGCTTTTTCTTTCAGGGGAGACGAAGGTTCATTGCAGTGCCACCCCCTTGCTATTATGTTAGGGGCTGGCTTGCAATAGTACATGCGTGCAGTACCCTATGCACCATACCTATGGCAATAGGGCGAGCATTACCCTAGCTGCCGTGACAAGCCTCTGGTCCCCATGGCCCCCACCAGCTCTAATTGGGGCCGGCACGACCGGTGTCACCACGGGGGTCGGCTCTGGGCAGCGTGATGAGCCGCTGCAGCAGGGCACATTCCCGTCGGCGACTGCTGCTGCTGACGTGGTTGGCCCGCTTATGGCTGCCATGGTGTGCCATGCCCTGCCAGCACTGGGACCCTGCTTTAGGGGGGGGGGGGGGGGGGGCAGGGCAACAAGAGAGATGCTGAGTCGGGCCTTTTACAATTTCACAACTGCCCAACTAAAAAACAAGTCAATGTAGAAAGCAAAGAATGGAAGTCTCAAGCAAAGTGTCCTTTGTTATATTTTGCACCATTTTAAAGTTACATCTATTGAGGTACAAGGATACATGTTGCAGTGAATGTCGAAGCTTCAGCTAGCCTAGGGTCCAAGATGAAAACAAGCTTACATGAACATTGTGGCAGGACGGCATAAAATATAAAACAACGAACACACAAGACACCCTGCTCGATCCCGTGTGTTCACAATTTAATTTTTTTCGCTGTTCTCCACATTGTTTGCGAACCAATTAGCCCGCCCACAAACCCTCGAAGCTTACATGAAAGATGCAGAACAGGAACCTGAAACAGTGTATTTTGCAATCAGCTGTACCTAGTAACAAAGTGACAACTAGGATATTACTATCATACTCATTATCTAATAGCAATAGCTGCTATTTAAGGTTAACCCCCACCACTGGCCTGAAGGTACATGTATTAATGGTACAGCACAAACCTCTACGATGTAAACACTTGTTTGAACAATGCTCAGTAACCGTTTTTAAAACGTCGACATAACTTCAACTACTTATAAAAAAAAATAGGCATTTTTCGTGAGGATAATTTGCACCAAAGGGCTGCTGTTGCACTTTTGCAAATGAATAAAGACTGGTCTCGCTTAAAGTTAATGAAGAATCGCCAAAGCAAGCCAATACGTATCGTATAAGCTAGCTGTCGCCTGTTTTGGACGGCATGAAAGAAAATCCATCAAGTGGTACTTTTGAATTAGTATTTAAGCTTTTGCTGTTTATGTTAACAATGTCGAATTCCTACAAGGGTTCATTAATCTTCATCCTGTTATGATCTCGATCTCTCTGCTTTATTTTGTTAATAAATTTTCTCTATCTCATTTTTAATTACTTTCTTCCGCATGACTCTATTACTCAATGAGCAATATTTTTACAAAGGCAAAGTATTTTTCAGATACTGTTCTTCCACTCTGCACGGCCATTTACCTTGCTATTCGGCATCTCTAGCATGTGGCTTGTAAAAAAAACTATGGACACCCATTTATTTTGTCTGCTTATGCTTGGCATCAGGTTTCAGCAGCTTCAGAGAAAGACTTAAAAAAGCAAATAGTAATACATCCTGAAATTGTGTGATGTTGATCATGCATCTACAGCTGTTGTATGTAAGCAAGTTGTAACAACGTATGTGCAGTGAGTGCAAGAAGTTTGCTATTCAACATTAACAAACCATTTTTCTTGAACATCAATGCCCCAAACATGACCTTCAATGGCTTAGAGGAAATTGACTGCAGCTATCGCAATTGGTGCATTGCAGGGTCCCCAGCAATATGATTGCACCACACAAACAAAAAGACGTTCGATTTTCTTAGATCCACACAATGTTCTTTTTGTGTTGTGCTGGTTTCAGTAGAGCATCACAAACAGCTACGTATTAAAGTATTTAAGGCAGGCATTTCAATTGCTAAGCGGCATAACCGAAATATAACTGTCCTCTGAGCTGAACAAAACATCCAGTCACAGGTACAGCAGAGACTGGCACATTAGGCTGTTGTAGTTAGGCAGCCGTCAACCTGAAAAGCACTTAATGGCCTGTCAGAAACACAGCTGGGGCATGTAATGCGAGATTACTTTTTTACCCACACCGAGCCTGCAATACACTTCAGGCCGAGGAGCTCCCACATTTTGTTGAGCACAAGAGACAAATGGCATTCTCTAGCAATCTTCAAGTGCTCACTGCCTCACAGCAGCGTCACAGTGTCACTTTCGATGAAAAATTGGAATTGCATTCCTTAATGGCAATTTGCCGATTTGTGCGAGCTGTTGAAATGAGCCAAATATAGTCAGAAATTTGATCCACACTGAACTCGAGTGCAGTTGAAAGTGCAACATCAATACTAGACGTTCCTGTGGTATGTTGCGCATGAATGGATTTCCGTCTTAAAGGGGAGTGATGCGTACAAAGGACTGGACGCAAGAAGGAACATACATAGACAGTGTTTTTTATTGTCTTGTCTTTTGTGCGCATCACACACTATCAAGATGATTCACCAACAAGTCTAAGTTGAAACCTCCCTAAATGGATTTCTAATTTGGGTATAAGGCACTAGCTGTAAGACCAAGTTATACTAACCGGTTGGAAATAACACTGGTTAAGCTACAATCAAGGAAAAAGGGAATAAAATGGGCCCAGTATTTGACGGCCTAATACTTGAAATCTTGTTGGGATGGTCATATGAAATTGTGCCATGAGTACACAAAGAGGCCCCAAGGAAGCCGCCCGTAGAACATTCAGGCATTTTCGAGTAAGTTCAGACACAAATGTCAACAAGTCGTAGATTAACACACTCGGTATCGAACTTGTCCTTTGCCTTTCGCAACATTCCCCGAAGCTTCACGACACCACCAGGAAGTCTCTCGACTAACTAATGCGATGATTAACGGTTGTAAATGCCCCCCGGTTTCAAGAGCGGGATGCGTTTCCTGACGTCAAGCTTAGACTTATTCACGCCGGTCAACACCGTAGGGTGCGGTTGATAAGACGCAACGAAGCCGACAACCCTAGTAGGGTCGTCGCTCCGAGTCGGAAGAGGGAAAGAAGAGATAAGAAGTGCGCAAAGGGAGACGTGCTTAGGCAAAACATTCTCAGAATGAGCCGGAAATGAGTTGAGTCACGCTTTAAATTACGGGGCTCGGAGACGACGGGCGGTGATCTAATGCAACGGTTCGCTACCGACGAGCAATTTCTCTCGTTATTACATACCATGACCTACTACACTCCTGACCTGTTCAGATAGCGGGGTTCCTATGGGAGCGCGTGTCCCCGCTCTCGTTCAATCGCTCGCCGTAGGTGGCGCTACCTATAACCTGTTCGTCTGCTTCTTTACGGTTGTTTTGTAGGCGCTGGTATAAGAATGCCTGCTTTCTGTGGTGAACTGTCGGCATATATGTGACTATTTCTTCCCATACATTGCTGGTCAAGTAAGCTGTTCAGTGCGCTTAAGAATTTATAGCACACTGGTTGACAAACGTGGAAACCCGTGGATTTACATGATTTTGGACAGCCTATGCGTTGTCGCGTGCATTTTATTGCAAAAAAAATTCTGAATGTCTTTTAGTATTATTATTTCTGGATATTTCTAAATTGTGGATCATAAATTCGCACTACGAGTGCTTTGTTGGTTAAAATTTGACTACAAAGAGTGAAGGTGACGTCAGCGAACAGGTGCTGCCTAGCGCCACGCCGCTCGTAGGTGACGGCCCTAGCGGCAGAAGGTATGAACTAGAACGTGGGCGCTGGAAGAGGTGCTCTCTGGGCAGGTCAGGAGTGTAGTAGGTCATGTTACATACATTCACGGCGCAGGCATTGGCTCCCGCCTGCGAATGCGAGGGAAAAGGCAGCGTTTTCTTCGCGACACCGGCGTTCCAACTCGCACAACGAGTTCGATCGAGAAATGACGCGGAGTGCCGGGGAGTGGGGCAATCCGATCCCGCTATGCGGGCCGCTCGGAATCTCCGTGCTGCTCCGCAGGCGAGAAGTGAAAAACGCGGTGCCACTACGCCGAAAGCGACACATTCCCGAAACGACCCGTTTGGCCCAATGGAAAATTCTCGACAAGACAAAAAACAAACGGCCGACTAAAATTGGACCCGTTCCGAGAAGAACGGAGCCCCGCGCTGCGGCACGGAACAAAACCGCCGCGATTTCGCCAAAATCGTGGGCCGGGGCTATTTCGACCTCGCGCTCCTTTCGCCACGTTTCGCCGCTGACCGAAAGTTAACTCCCTCGCGAGCCGCGAAACCGCTTTCGCGTCGTGCAGCGATCGTCAGAGAACAGCTGGGGGTCCGGGCGAGAGGAGTTAATTTTTTTTTTTTTTCGACTCGTGTCCAATTATAGTCATTTCGTATCCATTTCAACGAGCGTTTGTCGCGAAACGAGGCCATAGACGTTAAAAAGAAGAGGGAAAGAAACGCGTTACGAACCAGCGAGACACGAAAGGAAAAACACAAATGAGAAAAGCGTGCATTTTTTTTTCTTCTCTACAACCTCCTTGCGTCCCGGTTTTTCTTCTTCTTACCGCGTTCTTGTTTTCTCCCAGCACTTCGCAGCGCACATCGAGGTCTCGCTCAGAGGCATTCCAGCCCTCGTTTCGAGGAAAAGAAAAATAAAACAGCGCGAAATCGAGCCGCCGCTGCGATGAGCCAGCGAGGTGTTGACGAAGCGCTTAGCTACTGCACTGCCCACCATGCACAGGCTGTCGTGAGAAACCAGATTTTTTTTTTCCCCTCCATCACGAGAGAGCGCTCAATCGATGAGGAGTTTTACCGTAGCTTTCGGAGGTTCGCTCGGAGCAGCAGCCAACGGAGAGGCGAGAGAGAGAGTGAAAAAAGTGTGGTGAACGGAGTCAGGAGTCAGTCGCCGAGGCGGCCGCGGATGCTGCGATTCCGGAGACGAACGGAACGATCGTAGTGACCCGGGATCGCCGTGGCGACTTGCACGGACGCCGTAGTCTGCGCTAGGCACCAGCGATCGGCGAAAACTGTTCTTGACGCGCGCGAGAGACGTCGAAAGAGATCTTACCTAACAGGATGCTCGACGGCCAGCGGCACCATCCATGCTGGATCTGTGGTGGAGAAAGGGAAAAAGTAAACATTAAGGCTGGCGGCAAAACGAACGAGGCGACGCCAGCGCGTGTTTTGTGAACTTCCCGCAACTGTTATTTCAGTTTTAAAACGAGTGTGTGTTTTGTATTAAAAAAAATAAGGCTGACTTTTTATAGAACAATAAAGCATTGACTTTGGTATTTAATTTTGTAAAACGCGTGTTTGAGTTTACTCAACAATATATTGTTGGGTAGGCATAGGGTAAATGATGCTATTTGTCCATGAATTGTGCAAATACATTGCGTTCGATTTTAATAATTTTTTTACGGCAATATATGACGTCACATTTTGCCAAGCCAGAAGTAGGGTAGAGTAGTGGACTCTTCGAACGCACCAAGCGGCACACCGCCGCCGCCATCTGAGAGACGTGCAGGAAAAGCGAAGCTTTTGTGCTGTTTATGAGCAAACGTGCAGCGATACTCGCTTGTATAGCGCCTGTGTGTCATTCGCAGCCCCATTACGGTTCACAATGTGAATGTGCAATGCACTTGCAGCTTTACACTTCGAGTTTAATGCGCTGAGTGCAAGTGAAAAACGGCGCGATTCGGCCGGCTAACCGCCGAGACAGAGACAGGCTGTTTTCTTCTGCAGACACGGTAAGTTCGGGGCACAAAACATAATGAAACGGTGAATGCCATGTTATGTTATTTGTTGATACTTAGCCACACGGAGCACCACCGAATAATTTTTTTTTGTCATGTGTGTCACGATACATACGCACGAGAGTATCGTTTACAGTAGCGCGACTCGGCCGACTATGACCATATCGAAAAAAAAAAAAAAAAAGCTTGACCAAAGATAAGATTACCGCGCGCAAAACGTAAACAGGAAGCGACAATTTAAACAATAAATCGCCTTACTGTGTCAGGCACGTCTATTTCTTGACTGGGCAAGCTCCGGTGAGAGCAGTGGGCCACGTACTGCTTTTCGGTAGATGTGACCGCGTCGTACACGAGAACGGCTCACCGCAGCCACTCGCATTAATAGCCGTAGACACTGCCGTTCTCGTCTAGGAATTCTAGGCTGCCTTTGCTGAGGCACGCAACAGCGCAGTGCCGAAGGAAAACAACGAAGCTGAGGCGCCAACCGTTTTCGGAGAAGTTGTCGCGAGCTTCAGAAACGACCGCTTTCGACTTCTTGCGATATAAACTAAACTCGCAACCGTGAAGACCAACGCTCACTGCAGGCTCCTAACACATTGCATCATCTTTGAAGTGCAAAAAGCTGCACAAAAATGCACATTGAGAACTCCAGCCGGCCGTCAACAACGCAAAACGCGGCCATGCGAGTGGTGATGCAGACGACGCGAGGCGCCGGTGTGCCCATCTATTTCCACAACACCCTGGAAAAGCACGTGACTTCCGCCACATTTTTTTAGGTTCGTTCGATTCGCCTGTATCACATGACACACGTCACGAGGTGCTGCACCTTGCCATTCGTTTTTGTGGTGCAGCGTGGACGACCTCTGAACCCGGTCATTCGGTTTAAAAGGTGCGAAAAATAAAGCCTGCACCTCGTCTGCACATCATTTGGTTCGGGTGTCGTACATGTGCCTGCACATGCGCCTGCACTGATTGGTGCAGGTGAATCCAATAGACTCTTTCGCTCTGCTGCAAGGGCCTCTCCTTAGCATTCTTTCCTCCGTGTTTCGTGACGTGCGCTATTTACAGCTACTATAACGCACATTTTTGGCAAATTTAGAATGATTTTTTTTTTTTGCTTGTGACAGAAATATGATGCTGCTTCATTCCTGCTTCAGCCAGCGGGTGAAAAAAACAGTCTAGTAGTTTTAGTAATAAGTGACGTCATCTATTTGTAACTGACTAACAGGTGCGGAATATTTTGACACATCTCGCCGCACCCAACGAACACTCGGCCGCGTTTACCTCGAGTTTCGTGTTGCGCGAATCCTCGAAAAGTTTGTCATGTACACAGACGACGGTGACGACGAAAACGATATCTTCAAGAGGGACTTCAAGTACTACAAAAGGAAAGCCGTGCGGCCCGACTTGTCCGACGTGATCGATTTCGAGAGGCCCCACGAATTCCCCGTCGAAGTGCGCGCGCGGTTGCAGACGACGCCGGACTGCGGCGAAGTCGGCCTCGTCGACAAGGGCGAGTTGCTGTGCTACGCCGTGCGCGCTAATCGGGGTCTACTGGTGATACCCAATCCTTTCACGCCGCGTGGCCAACGGCAGTGGGTGAGCAGAACGTTGCGTTCATACCCGCAACCGCCAAACTGCACCAATCTGAAAGCGCTGAAGCCGCCGGACGTGTTTCCCGCGTCGCCGCAACTCGACGACTTTTACAAGAACCTCCGGTGGGTCACGCTGGGCCTGCACCACGACTGGGACTCCAAGGTGTACGACCTCGGGAACGCGACCACCTTTCCGAGTTGCCTCGGCGCGTTGGCCAAGAAGCTGGCGACGTTGCTCGGTTACTCGGAATTCGAACCAGAAGCCGCGATCGTCAACTACTACGCCATGAACTCGACCTTGAGTGGCCACGTCGACCGTTCCGAATTTGACCTCGGTTCGCCCCTGTTCTCCATAAGTTTTGGACAGACTGCGGTGTTCCTCATCGGAGGGGCGACCAAAAACGTCAAGCCGACGGCCATGTTCTTGAAGAGCGGCGACGTCGTCGTTATGACGGGCGAATCTAGAGTGGCGTACCACGCCGTGCCGCTGGTGCTGCCGCGCGAGGATGGTGGCGCGCCGTGGAACTATGTTGCAGATGGTGACGCAGATAGTGACTGGAGCGCTGAGGCCGAGTACTTGGCAAATCACAGAATAAATCTAAACGTGAGGCAGGTGTTCGAGAAGAGCTGATGGCTCGCTGGTGCGCGCAGTGAATACATGGGCTAGTGTCGGTGCCACATGTGATCATGGCACCTTATCTGCAGCTTCACATAGCTCAGGTTGCACCAGAGGCCCACAGTATTGCATATGAAAACTGGTCTACACTATGAAAAGAACGTCATCGTGTCAGTGTTGTTGCACCGTGCTCTCTGATGCTGTACTCTTAATATATGGCTGCCACTAATTTTGGCACTATACTGGTTGGCACTGTAGGGTGATCAAGCATATTGCAGCAAACAATGAAAGTGAGAGCCATAGTCATGCATTCTGGTTAAAGTTTATCACCCAGTGATCATGGATGGCGATTAAGAAATATTAACTACATGTAGGCTGATCAGCATTGAAATAATGTACTGGAACTGTACACGCACCAGCTGGTATATACAAGGCACAGCCTTTTGACTCCTGCATTGTGGATCACTCAAACTTGCATACATCAGGTGAATATGAAAAAATCCCTCTGAAGTAGAAAGCAGCTCGATATAGTGCAAACATTTCAAACAAGACAACCATCAAGTTCAGAACATGTTTGAAGTGAGCAGAGCAACATTCATCAAAGGTACGAATGGCAAGAGTAACGCTACGACATCTGTACTTAAAAATCGGTGCTGTTTCGAGCTGTTGCACTGCCTTCAAGGGGCAGCTTTTACTTTCTAGACCTTGACGAAGTTTCATTTTTATTAAATTGATTGTTAGTAAACACTGTACAGATGTAGGCTATCCAAGCAATCCTGGCAAAAACTGCATGGCTGTCAAGTCTAATTTCAAGTATGATAATAGAAATTATAATACTTGAAATAGCATCTAAGCCTATATGTACAACTTGGCTGATATCAAATTAGTTTCATCATGCCTTCACCTCCATCATTTTTAAGCTGACTGCATGAACTGGAGGGTAATGCCAAGAAGGCACTTTAGTTCATGTGGTACTTTTTATAAGCTGTAATGGTGTTTTATTTTTTTTTACTTTCTATATTGGAAATATTGTTCGCGCTGAAGCAGCAACAAAGAAGCTTGCTGAACGCATTCAGCTGGCGGGCGAATCATACACCTCGTACATTGAGGTTGTTCTTGCCTTGTGCAAGCGTGTAAATTCAGTTATGCCTCAAAGCAAACAAATACACCATATTATCAAAGGCATAAATACCATCGCATTCAACACCCTTGCATCGCAAAACCCTACCACGACTCAAAATGTCATCACCATTTGCCAGAGACTAGAAGAACTTCAGTCTCTTCGTCTTTGCCATGATGCCTCGGACATTCGTCTTCCTCATAAGTGGTGGAGGTGCTGGGTATCCGGCGGCAGCGGGATTCGAACCCACGGCCTCCCGCAGCCGAGGCGGACACTCTACCACGAGGCCACGGCTGCGGTAGGTCGATTGCTCACGACGTATCAATATTTGTTTTATGGAACTTTTCGCTACGAATGGCACTCGCGCCTCGAATCAGAAAGTCTATGAAGCATAAATCGGAAATATATAAAGCAATCGATCGACTCTGTGTCTATACCGCCTGTTCTCACTCTTTTTGCACAGCTTGAAATTTCGTTGCACTAGGCTTTTAACTGATGCTCAATTTCACATACGCAAGAAGATGAGCACCTGGCAACTAATCTCTAAAGCTGCTTGGTCAATGGTTCAGTGACGATCATTTAGTGAACTTGGAAAGAGGTTTCTTTGGTCAACTTACTTGGCTAAGTTACTCAGGCTGGAATTAAGTTGAGGCACTCCGGCTGAGGACATATTTGCCTCCGGGTTACGTTGTGCCAAATTTGTATCATTATGAACACACCTCTTTGGAGATTGGAAGTTAAAGCGATTATAATGTAAATTTAAAGTTATTTTCAAAGATGTATGACTGAATAAGATAACTTGAATTACGTTGTAGCGCTTTGCCACTCTGGAGGTTTTTTTTTTCTTTCCGTAAAGGCTTTGCTGGTTTTCTACTTCAACTGTAAATCCCATTTTTATCTGACACAATCTTCCTATAAACTTTTCGCTCACACATAAAATTTTATGTGTGTGCGAAAAATTTAACACTGTCTTTATGCCCACCTGATTGAATTGTTTACACACTTCATTCACCTATCTACACGCTTTCCTCTTCCACCCCCCCTTTTTTTCATCAATTGTTCCATCATCTTTCACAAATAGGCATTGTCAAATTCACAGCATGAGCATAAAGACTGTTTCAACTGCCTCATTTCCTTAGTGTAAACAAAGCATACCAGCCACATTTACATGGCGTGCATGTCAACTGAGTCTAGTGTGTGGCGTTTGCCTTCCTTCAAAAATTTGTCAACTACGGCTGAAAAATCAAGTATGTTAACAATGTTTTAAGACATTGAGTGCAGTGCATTAATGGCACCTGCTGCATTGCTGGCTTTGGTTTCGAAACTACGTGTAATGCCAATGAGGTAATGAATGCATGGAAAAGTAGCGCATAGCAGGGTTTCTAGGAATTTGAGCCATTTTCATTGCTTCTCTTTTTGCTATCCATATGATATCATAAACTATGATGCATGTGGGCAAAGGCAAAAACTGCCTTGGTCTTGCGATTGGCATGGCCCCCTCCATTGTCAGTTTTTTTTTTTCATTTGTGCTGGATAAAGCAGCTGGAACAGCCAGAATCAGCAATCAAGCTATCGGCAAACAAAGCAGTTAGCAGAACGCAAAATGAGTACTGTATTTTATTGAAAAACTGTACTTGACTGACAGAAGCGTACAGGAACAGTGCACACGTTTGAGGCTTTGCCGTCTCGGCAAAAGATAAATAAAGACAGTCACGTTACGTTATTACACGTCGGTGTGAACATATACATGTTGAAAAATGTTCAACTTTTATTTGACGAGTGCCCCTTGGAAACGACCGCTGCAATGATACTGGCGGAACAGGCAAGTGCGACGACCTTGACACCGTCTGGTAACTGCGGTGCCGGATGTATCTCTTCTGGTTTGTTGCCTGACTTCAGGTGTTTCCACTGCACGAATTTTGTGCCTGCAAAGTAGTAGAACGCATAGGCACACCGAAAGTGCTGCTAAACAGCACCACTTTGACAACATTGTGCACAAGCCAAGAAGGCAGATACGTTCATACAAAGGTGAAGACAAAGTGGTCAGTTACAATCAAACAAGGAAGATTTCCAATGCTTACGTTCTGACAGGGAGGTTTGTCTTGTCTTTGTTAGTGTTGATACTTTTTTTGAAGATCTAGTGGGGATGAAAGTCAGTTCACTATAGTCTGACACAACTTGAAAAGTCTGCAAAAGCCTTGACCATGCAACCGTAGCATGACAGCCGATCGCCTCCGGGACTAAAGAAATAGTCCCCCTCGTGCACTAGTCTATTTACTTTGAAGGTGGGTTCACTGAACCTCCAGCTCATGCCATCAATCTGAAGTGCGCAAGCTTGTATGCATCTGCCTTTGAGAAGGAAACGCCATGAACTTCTGAACGCCATGATCCAGCTATAGTACTAAAACATTTTAAAGAACTGCTTGCTATCGAACAATATTTTAGAACTATAAAGATTAAAGCAGGGAATGTCATAATTCTGTCCTGCAAGATGTTGCACCATGAAAGTTAATGCCAGCTGTTTATGTTCACATCATTAAGTATGACACAGTTGTAATACTTGCAATGTTCATATTTGTTAGCCACAGTGGCTTGGATTTGTAGATGAGGCACTGCTTTTGCCTCTGGGAGATAGCAAAGCTGCCTGATATAGTCTTGGGACATGTTTACAGCTTATAAGACATGTTAATGTGAAGCATTGCATTTCCGGACCACCTGGGGTTCGACCACCTGGGGTTCTTTAATGTGCAGATTTGGGTGCACGTTAAAGAACCCCAGGTGGTCGAAATTTCTGGAGCCCTCCTCTATGGCGTCTCTCATAATCATATGGTGGTTTTTGGGACGTTAAACCCCACATATCAATCAATCAATTCCCGGACGCCCCTGGGTTGATTGAATGCAGGAGTGACACTTTTTGAACAGTTGGGCGCATGCATTGAATGTTGTACATATAGTGTGTGCTTGCTCTTTTGGCTTGCTGGTACACTAAGAATATGTGAACCGTTTATATAAGTTGACGTCAAAGGTTGAACTTGGCACTTTGGAAAAAAATTATTCTGAAGCCACTGAAGATGCTTATCAAAGCCAACGATAGCTATTTTTTTAACCTCTGTCCGGTAATTTTTATGTCTCTTGTAAGTGATGACACGTTGCAGGCACATCTGCAGACCCACCAAGTAGCTGCTTTGCTGCCATTCGCAATGCCAACTAGTTAATTCTACACCACATTATGTCATCTCCCAGTCATTTAACCACAGCTAAGCTTAGTAGCAGTAGCTAGCCTGAGTATCGTAGCTGCAACTTCCTCGCTGTGGACATCCATCACTTGGCTGCACTTGATGCCGAGGTGTCATCTGTTGTGGATTGCGCACCACCATGTTGAGAATATTCATTATGTACCCTTAGTGTCAGCTTAGCTGGTCCATTCAGGTGGCAAGGATGATGGGCCAACAATGCGCATACACCAATATACCACGAGAAAAATGCCAAAGTTTTACAATCGGCCCTCTATATACATAGCAGCTGTGCCTGGTTGCTTGGCAATAAAGCAGCCAGTGTGTAATGAATACCCAGGTGTTTTAAAGTTAGTGGGCAGCTTGGCTTATTAGGTATGTGCCACAGCATCGTTTGACTATTCAGAGTGGTTGTAAATTTGTGCCAACTCTGCACACCGCGTTGGACTATGATTAAAAACCTGTACTAGTGAAAGGAAATGTTATATCGCTGTATATGGCTTTACTTTCCGCAGTCACAGACTATTGTTCAGTCTGGCAAAAAAAAAGGGGGGGATTCGTGAACTGGAATTTACATTAAGATGGCCAAAAGTAAACTTACAATGTTAATACTGAATGTTGGCATTAAAAAAAAGCTTGAAAAAATTCATGATTAACGTAGCCTGAGGCTGTCTTAAAAGCATAATAACAGTTAGACCGATCTTACGATGCTAGCTGTACCATGTGCACTTTTGGTTGTATTGTAACTGCACATATTGGTTTCACTTTTCATTGACATAATGAAGTATTATGGAATAGATTTTTTGCTAAATGCACTCAAACCAAAATACAACGAAATATTCTTTATAATGAAGTAAATGAAAAATAGCTTTTCAGTAAACAGCATTAGAAATATGCCTTTAAACAAATTTTAGGATATTACAAACTTAATTTAGTGTAAGATGCAACTTTTGTTATAATGAGGTTTGAGTGCGTAGCGTCCGAACTCTCGTCTGCTGAGAAATGCTGCTTTTTGGTTGTTTTGCACCTCCATCAAATTTGGTTCCGTTTGAATTTGTAACGTATTTTGATCATTCTGGGCCGACTTCTGTGAGGAGTGTTGAAAACTATTGGCTCCCAGTTTCAATTAATCGTTGTGGATACTGATGATTTTGAATTATCGAGAGTTTTTCCCACTGAAACACTCAGGGCAGCACCCGAGCCAGGGGCCAGCATGTGAGTTTGAATTAATAGTAAGTTTAAATTAACTGACTTAAAATTCACAGCTGCTGTCATATTATTAATTATTTCTACTCTACTAGTGATAGTACTAGCGATTGTACAGCTAGAAGCAGTTGCAAGAGCATTAGTGGTGACAGGACATGAATATACCCTGAAACCTTGACATGAGAAACCCAGATATAACGAAGTATTTGTTATAACGAAGTGAATGAAAAGTAGATTTGAAATAAATACAGTGTTAGGAATATAACGTTATAACAATTTTTTGGATATAACTAACTTAGTTTCGTGTAAGATGCAACTTTGTTATAATGAGGTATGAGTGTAGAACTTGTTCTCAATGATGATTGCATTCCCTCTAAATGGAACAGACAATATCAAAATCACAGCAGAATCTTGGTAAATGGATATCTCTTAAATGGAATTTTTGCTTAAATGGAATATCTGTTTCTGATATGATTGGTTACATACTTGAATTCTGCACCCTTCCTTGTCTCTCAGTAGGTGGAACTGCTGTCGAACGAAACACATTTTCCTGGTCCCTTCAGGTTTTGTTGTATGGGATCATGATGTAGTTGTAGATGAATGCCAGACCTAGTGGTTTCCTCGTTATTACTTCTTTAAGTAGGACCGCATCAGAAAAAAAGCATCCTCCAGAAAATTTGAAACGCATGCAGGAAAACGACGTACCAATCCTCTTTTTAACCCTACCAAACTGTCGTTCTACGAAAGGTTGTGGAGAGTTACGCCACCTCACCAGTTAGTATCGCAGTGGTGTCTTCGTTACCAGTCACATACACCACTTTATGGCCTGCATACAGCTGTCGAGGAACTTGGGTGAATTCTCTGACATCTCTTGTGCCGTCTTTAAAACCGAGCTTCTTATTCCTGTGCCGAAACAAAGAGTCGCAGCAGTAAAAATACATTACAGGAAGACAAGGTAGAGAGAGAGAGAAAAAAAAAAGCAGTGATAGCGGAGACATGAAAGATAAGAGTGTACTAGCAGCGGTTGCCGCTGAAATCACAACAAAAATTATAAAAAATTGAAAGAAAGGCTTTGTATATTCTCACTTATTAAGAATGCTATACGGGCACTATGCTAAGCTCCAAGTAAATGACTAGTCAATTTCATACCTGGAAGGTAGAACTACTGCTGAATCACTATTGGTCCACTTGATGAATGACATTAACATGTAGCTACGAGGCAAACCAACGATTTATTAATATTTTGTCTGCAAAGCTTGCTTAAAAAAGTGCCAATTTATTTAAAGCTGTAAGGTGCTAGGAACCCAGCTGCAATGCATTTCATTCCCAGTTTGAGAGCTATAAAGTGCAAACATGGTTTTTTTTAGATTTTGCTTAGACTCACTCAATCTGGGCTGTCTTTATTAAAATAAAGTGTGTTCCTAAATTACAATTATGGCTTCTGTCTCAGACGTAAAAAGTGCCGCCGAAATTTCCATCAATTCGCTGTCTGGCAGTATCCTTGAGTTTTGCTTGTGCTCGAGTGATCAAAGTATGTTTCTGTCATCGTGGCAACTGCAAATGCGCATCTGTTGCTGTGTGGCCAAGCATCATTGGAAGAAAGCCTCTAAATATTCACTGTATCTTTCAGTCAACACTCACCATATGATGCAAATATTAATTTGTGAATTATGCATGGTACAGCCTATCTGTGTGTGTAGACTTTGCGATTTGATTTTTGAGTCAATTCGAATGCCCAAGCAATATAAATACTGACTGCAAAATTTTACTTTATTAAATCACACAGCAAAGTGACTGCATACTGGTGAAACCAATATTGCACAACTGAGCGTTGCATCACTATTAATGGCTGAAGATATTTAAAAAATAATTTAGAAATTCTATAGAAGGGGACCCACAGATAGTGGAATTTTTGTTGTGATGTCATGTGATGCACATATGGGTGTTTTCCCTTTAGACCTTACCAAAAAAATGTTTACTCAGTTAACTTGTTCATCCTCACAGATGTATTTTATAGCACGAAAAACATAGGTACTAGGCATGGGAAAATATTTGACTTCTCCGAACATTTCGACAAATACTACAGTACTCGAGTTCGCATTCTTACGAATTTAAATTATTCCAAATTTCGAAGTTTTCGAAATGAGCGAATGAACGCTCATTTTCTCTCGAATATTCAAGTGCGTGTAAATCACCTGTAAAAGTGGTTTCACTGCCAAGTGTCAGTCAATGCCGTGGAACCACATATTCAGGGGGAAATCCGCGATGCCGTGAATACACACTTTAAAGTTAAATGTTCATATTGTTTTCTCCTCGAACACAGGCGTGTGTGCAGTAGGGGCAGGGAGGGGGAGAGGGGGGTTGGAGCAATGTCATTTTCATATACTGACATGACAGGGAGTGGGGGTGCTGCGACGAACCTTCACCCCCCTGAAGGGTAACCCTGCATACGCTTTATGCCCTCGAATAATGATTTTTAAAGTTCAAAGGGTTCTTATTCAAATTGATATGCTAAATGCAATAACCTTTAAAATATAACATATTTTACAGCATATAACTTGCACATTACTGCTATTTATATTTTGCTGTTATGTAAAATTACAACAAAAATTACATTCACAATGCCTAGTGCCAATTAAAGTTATTGTGCAAGCTGGTTATGTTATGGCTACAATTCTGTTTTCCTTTATAATATGTTATACATACTATTCAGACGATTATATTCTAAATTATTCGACCAAATCACTATTTCCTCCGACCCTCAGGGTTGCTATTCACCCGTCCCGAATGTTAATTTTTGGCACAATGTGGATGATCACTGCCCTTTGGCAGATTTCTCAAAGCATTGTGTTAAGCTCACTTGTTGCTTCCGCAGGCCCATAGCTCCCCTGCGTCACTGACTAGGTAGCTGCTGTCTGTCGTGGAAAAGCAGCGTGTAGGACAAACGCCAGCAGGGAGCTCTACTTTCACGGGAAGATCCGTCAGAGTTGAAAAATTAATCCCCAGCATTCCTGTAAAGAAATGTGAATCATTATGGGAGTTATGGAGGCACATTTTGTATCACTATGGAGACGCATTTTGCAAGCTGTCAGAACTTTCCCGTGTGTATGCTTGTCATGCATAATAAAATGATTCCAGCACAAAATATGTGAAGTAATAGCTCTGTAACTGCTTGAAGTATTAGATTTAGTGATACCATTATGCTCTGCTTTAGTGAGTTTGTTTATATCACATTTTCAATGCGTGACATTTTCCAAATACATCAGAAACTGATGTATACATGTAATGACATTTGCATATGCCATGGTCCTGCATGTTTTGGTACCTCTGTCACACGTGCAAACTGATTGATATGTGTAAACTGATGGATTTGCACAAACTCACGATATCTTCTCATTCCATAAGGCTCTGAAAGAGCTGTAATGGCTGTGTAAGACAGGATTCAAGTCTTTTTACCAAAATAAGTAGTCTCTAACAGAAGTAATTGGGCTTCATTATCGCAATGGAGTACACTTATATTGACAGTAAAGCTTAGTTGCCGTCCCACGAAGTCCAAGAAGCGCAGAAGTCCAAGATGAGGGCACTGCAGTTTCTTGAAATGCAAGTATTTTAAGGCGCACCATGTCTGGAATCACCCCAGGCATAGACGTTGTGTCTTTCATCGACGGCAAGAACGTGCGATGTCGCACAGGCCACATGCGTAATCTCGTGATCCAACAGAGCTTCCACAACCTTGGGTTTCTGTGTACGAAGAAATATTTGAGCACTCAGGATTGCCTTTGTCCTTCAACACAATCTACATGGATGCTTAGCATATTGGCATTTTGAGCAAAATGGGGATGCGCTGAGTAGAACGGGACGTACCTTGGCACTGTCAAAATGGCCACCATGACCAAGGCTACCAGACTGTCCGTGTCCACAAGATAGAAGGATCTTTCGTTCTACAAGAAGTCAGTGATAATGACATAATTACAATTAAATGAATTTATTTAACAGCAATTAATTGGTGCTCTCTGACTGTGCATGAGGTGGTATGTTCTATTCCTAGCTGTGGCAGTCATGTTCTAATGGAAACAAAATAGAAAAAGTTTGGCAGACCCCACGTACCTTGGGAGTCGATGTTATGTGAAGCATGGTGATGCAAGGGGAACATGTTTTAATTTTTTTTATTGGGCGAGACGTTATGAAGTGGCACTCAATATATATACGAATCCGCGCGCCCACACAACCAACTCTTTTTTTTTTAAATTGCCCTATTTGTTACACGGTATGTGATAGCTAGAAAAAATATGATGGTGTTTATATCGTTCAACGTTAAAGTCTCAGTCCGCTGTGGTGGAGCAGTGGTTAAGGTGCCCGGCTTCTGACCCAAAGGTCGTGGGTTCGATCGGTGCGGCGGCAGTTCATATAGATGGAGGCGAAATGGAAGAGGCCTATGTGCTGTGCGATGTTAACACACGTTAACGCCAGATGGTCAAAATTTCTGAACCTTTCCACTACGGCGTCTCTCGTACTCATATCGTGGTTTTGGGACGCATAACTCCAAATGTGATTGCTATTATTAACGTTAAGTCTTACCCCAAATTGTGAGCAGTTTTTGCAAGCACAACAAAAACAATTTAGACAAACAAACTAAACTTTGTCTCTGTTGTGTAATAGTACAAATTAGCAAACCAAAGTTCTTGAACACGTTACCCGACAGCAAGACGATGAAGTCGGCTCCACAGCCAGCATGGGTTACACGGTCACTGAGGTAGTTCTTCACAATCTTTGCTTCACAAGTCTTCTCTTTCGACTGATCTGTCTGGATTGAAAAGACATGGAAACGAAAGGTACTATTTGGACTACAGTTAAACCCCTCCCTTCATAAGAGACATGCTCTGGGCAGCCATTCTTGTCCTTTATATGAGATGCCTCTTATAAGCAGGGTACCACATATGCATTTTCTTATCAACATGTGTTTCACTGTAGGCACAGTGGTGTCTTTGTCTCTTATATCAGTGTCTCCTATAAAAGGGCTCGACTGTAACATAAATCTGCCCTAAAGTATTTGCTAGGGTTACACCTTTCAATCTTTCGTATCACTGCTCCACCTTCTAGCGAGTGTGCTCAAGATATATACATATGTTCTTTGATATTGCTAATGAAACAGTTTCGAAAGCCCACCACTTTCCAAAGAACAGCGCTTCCGTATGCAGTAATGCCCACGATGGTGTCCAATCCAACGGCCACGTCATTAATGCAGCCGTGTCCTTTCGGCACCTCCAGCTCAATGGTAGCCACGCTCCTACTGTCCCAAGCAAGCAGAGATGTCGACATATCGCCTGCAAAGATCAGAAGTTATCAGGAGCAAGTTATCAGGAGCAAACTTCAGAATGTACTGCCGCAGGCAACCAAAACAGCGAATGGATATAGGAGACTGGTTAGTCTTACCGGAACTTGCACGGGATCTCAGACCAACTGTAGTCAGGGACAGCGTAGAAGACAAACGGTCTTTCCTGTATATGAAAGAATGAGAGGAAACTGTAGGTCTCGTATTTTTTTTTTTTGTGTTATGCCTTGAGAAGTTTTCATATCAGCAACCCAATGTAGGGTTGAAGAAGACAGATTAACCGAGATACAGGGCACATGGTTATGAAAGAAAAACATATTTACAATACTAATTTTTTACACCCCGTTGCATGCTTATTGCATTCATGTGAATTTTTTTTCTTCTTCTGCTGTCATCCTGAAGTGGCTTAACTTATAATGAGAACTGCTCTTCAGTCGTAATGAGTGCAGTAGTGTACTAACACTTCAAAAGACTAAATTATGATGGATACACCCTTAGTGCTGACGTTGTCCACGTGTTTGAGAAAGAAATAAGTTGCAAAAAGTACATACTGCCTGTAAGGGAAGGGGGGTGGGGTAGAAATCACTTACATGTCTTTGAACTTGGACTGATTTAAGTGCCCTTTAATACGCATCCCGATATCAGTATCAGTCAAGTTGTTTATTTCAGCTTCCCAAGTTCTGGCACTGCACACACCGTGACACAGCTTGGTGTTGATTGGTCATGTAGTCTTAAAGGATAAAACCTTTCTTTATTAGGCATTTTCAGATGCTGTCTATACAACCAGGGTGAATTGATTATTGCATACAGTCCAAGTTATAACGACTATAATTTTGCGAAATTCTCGCACCTCTGTGTCTGTCGCATAATATTTTGAAGACGTTACATAAAAATAGATGACTAATGATTTACAGTAAACTATGGGTGCACTTATTGCACTGAATAAAAGCTATGCTATTGCTCTGTATCTGTTCCTCCAAAATAGTTTCCCAAAATTTCATGCACGAACATGTTGTGGATTACAATGCATACATTTGGTAATACACATCAAGTTTTTTTTTATTTATTCTACTCATCATTATCTCAATGGAAAGCGAGATTACTTTAGCTGATTGTCTCTGATATAGTTAATAATGCTGAAAGCACGGTTCCGAGTTCGATTTCCGGCTAAACTGTCCACGAAACGTTAATGCACAATTTCAAGCGAGAGAGAGAGAGAGAGAGAAAATAATGACAAAAGAAAGACCAATTTCAAGTGGATGTTACAGAACTCAAGGTGGCTAGATTGTATCTGGAACCCTATGCTACACCATCTCTCATGCAACCTGTTTTTCTCCGTCATCTCAAATTTAATCACATGACTAGGCCACTTGTCATAATCTGAATAACGAAACACGCTGCAGTATGTTTTACGTGACTGAGCAAAGGTTGGTAGGTTATGAGTGTTTATTTGAGAGTTTTTATCAGCGGCAGATTCATTCGCAACTTGTTACAAGTAATCGATTACTAGTAATCAGTGATATTTTCTTGTAATTTTGTAATATATTAGGTTACTTTTTTAATACTATAACATTCAGGGTTATTCAACTACATTTTCTTCCAAGGGAATACTGGTAATTTATTATTTTTCTTCTCTAAATCAAGTTGTAACCAGTCTTTTACACCAGTTCTCATCCTGAAAAAAATGCGATCGCTCTGTAGGAATCCCTTGTTTTGTCAGATAGGAGGTTCTTACAGAGCCTATTTTTCACTATTTCTGTGGCCCTACTTGCAACGCCTTATCCGAGTTTCAGCAACAGCGAGGTGTGATACATTATAGAAAATATAGACATTGCATAGAAGTACCGTGCAACCACGCACTGGTGGCTTAGGTGTTCTTATGTTGGAATACTGCCTGTTCTGCAGTGTATGCACTAAGGGAGTGTTTAGGGCAGCAGCTGACCTCTTTTCAAGGAAAAGTGGAAGAATAAGCGATGAAAATATTTGAAACAGAACTGATTTTGAAAGTCAACATCATTTAACACTGTATTGCAGAAGCCACAGAAAGCCTCCCAGTTTTCATGCAAACCTCCAAATTCCTCTCAACCATGCAAACTGCAATAGTTCGTTGTAGTTTGAGTACACTTGTGTTATTTTGTCATGGCAATAAAATTTTGAAAAGAAGTAATGCAAAAGTAGCGGATTACATTTGTGTAACTGATCACTTACTTTTCTGAGGCTACAATCATCCACTGAGATCAATTACATTTTAAAGGGACCCTGAAACGCTTTTGGCATTATTGTACAAACACATCAAGCTGGTAGGCCAAGTCCTAAGGGTCATTTAGAGACCGATTTGAGCTCTCTGCATAAACTGCGCAATTTATTACAATGCTTTAAAGCTGTGAATCCCGGCGGCAAATTGGTACAGATCGCTGCGACTCAGGCAAACGTATTTTCGACCGCGCATTCACAGAGTGACATGCTCTGACATCGCCGTGGCTGCTGATCACGCAGCTACGGTGTAGATCGGGACTGTATATCGCGCATAATTAAGATCGGCTAGTGGGGTGGCGTTACCTGTCGGAGCAGATATGAACATGCGACCTTCGTCTCCGTGGCCAGACAGTGTGCGTACTGCCAGGCGCACTGTGTGATGGCCTCTGAGACTGCGTGCAACCTGTCGACGTGCGAACTTGGAGGTATAGACTGGTAAAAGCTCAGATCGTTGAGCACGCTCATGAGAGCTCTGGGATCACCCGCAATGCCAGCATGCCTTATGAGTTCGAAGGCCGGGCAGAGTTGAGGTGGAGGGTATGATATAATTGTCTGCAGCAGTCTTGGTACACGGCATGTCACTGAGTTTGTGGTGCATATGGTTTTATGATGCTGTAGCCTCAAGGCTGACAAAACTTTTCAAAAAGCTTCAGGGTCCTTTTAAAAGAGGTAATTGTAATTAGTTACTTATTTTCTGTAATCTACACAAGTCTTATGTCAGGCTACGAATGCGATGTTCCAGCAAATCAGGTGTAATACGAAAAATTTTGAATTTGTGTACCCTTGCGAGCTTTTGCAGAAAGAAAAACTCAAACAAATTGAAACAAAGCAAGCACTTACTGGGCAACACAGGGTAGCGAGCCAGTCGTCAGATAAATGTTGCAAATTACAGGCAGCAGAAAGGGTGTCGCCTTCAGCTGGTTGACAGACGGCCGCTGTGACGGCTCCTTTTGTAGCATCCGTTCGAGCAGGTTACGGACCTGAGTGCTGTAGTGGTCGCTAATGGGCTCGTAGGATCCTCGAATGATCTTCATCACCAGGCTCGGAACGTGCTATGCAAGCAATAATGGTTGTTGAGATGGGGTATTGCAGCAAATATAGCAAGGTAAAAATAGCGCAAGTGACAGGCCATCCCCTACGACTCACGTTGCCTTCAAAGGGGCTCCTCAGTGTCAGGAGTTCGTACAGAATACAGCCTAGTGCCCAGACGTCACTCTTCTGATTGTACCTGTAAATAATTCGTACATCATTTATTGCAAGGCATCATATTTGTATACTTGAAACAAGTGCTAAATGGGCACTGATAAAAAACGGTCTTTAAAAACTATTTATGTTAATTGTACAGTAAGAGATTTGGCACAAGAAAGAAAAATCAAGGCAGAGCATTCATTTTAAAGAACTTTTTCATAGGCATCAGCACAGGTACACCAGTCTGGCTTTACATATTTCTTGTTTTTTCCGCTGCACTGCAGCAAAAGTTCTTGAAGTTAGCTAAGATTAAGCTTTGGCACTTGCTGAATAAACTACATTCTCTCTTTATTTGTAAGCAGTCAACCAAGCCCAGGTAGACTATCAAAATACATGGTGTCAGAGATAGCTTGTGGCAGTCTAACATTGCAGTGGTTGCTCTTTTTTTTTTTTGCTTTTGCATCTTTACTACTGTCATCTAGCCTGCTCTAATCATAAGAGGTCCTTTTCCAATATTCTAGACAGATAATTTGTCAGTGCTGCTATGTGGGTCTAATCTTTACTTTGTTGTCCTCTTAATGAAATTATAAGCAAGTGCGATGCGATAACAGTAATCAGAGTGAACTTACGGTTTGCCTACACATATCTCTGGTGATAGGTTGTTTGGAGTGCCAACTATCTGAAATTCCAAAATGTTAATCAGTTAAAATCCATGAGGTATCACTGAACAAGTAGTAGCATCGAAGGAGTCCACATTTTAACAAGATATTCCTTGGTTAGTGCTTGACAAAGACCATAATTAATGCAAGCAGTCTTTATAAAACATTGGCTCTGGCAACACCTTTTGTTCAACAGCTTCTCATCAATTTTAGGCTTCCTGGCATTCTTTAATGTGCACCTAAATCTAAGCTCGCAGCCGTTGTTTCCTTGCATTTCAACCATATTGAAATACGGCTATAACTTGAAATCACACCCATACTCTTATGCTTAGCAGTGCAACAATGTTGCTAATATGCTACTATGGCAAGTTCAGTGACATTGCTTGTTTTGCCACTGTTAATAGTTTTGAAGGGGCCCTGCAACACTTTAGCATGGTCCAAACATGCCGTGTGAAAGTCTGATTGAATTGGCTGATTTAAGCATTGTGGGTTGCATAGTTATTGTGGCTGCCGCAAGAGGCCGCTACGTGCTTGCCATCACACTAAAAATAACAGGTGCAGCATAAAAAAACACACGATTTTCCCAAAATGATCCTTGATGGGATGCGGAGCAGCAACGTTGCGCACGGGTGGCGTCACGGTTTGAACGGCGCTAACGTGAATGCTGCACTGGCCGTTGGAAGATTCATTTAAAGCGATGGCTGACGTAGGTCTTGTGACACCCACAGACATGTTCCAACACGTAAGCTAGGCGTGCGTCAGGTTTATGTCGCATGAACCAACGAGGCGGCGGTGTAGCGAGCGACGGTCGCGGTAGCGGAGCGAGCAGCAGTAGCGGCAGGTGTTGTGGGCAAATGGACAACGAGGGCAGCTGTGGGCACAACGAGCGCGCGACAGGGGAGGGAGATAGGTGTCAGCACGCACTGCTAGGGGAGCGTGACCTGCTTGGCACCACTCCAATGCCTGTGGCGAGGGGAGCCCATTCGTATGGACACACGTACGTACAGCATTACACACGTTAGTCGAACAATTGTTTCGTATCTAAAAGTGCCCAAGGTTATAACACGCGCGTGACATAACCTTTTTCCCCCAAGCTGTCCCTCCCTACTTAGCATCCAGTGCATTTGTAAAGATGAGAGGAGAGAGAAAGCGATCACAGCATGCAGAAAACATCTGTAGTTTTGCTCGTACTAGATAGACTCTAAAATGTTTGCAGTTATCACTTCATAAGACAGTAAACTCCTGTTCAGTGACGCCATTCGACAGTTACTTCAAAAACGTGTTGCAGTGCCCCTTTAGGCCTCCATTTTTGTGCAAACTCCTTTCTTGTTTAGATTATTATTATATGCTATTGAAGACACTAAAGCAGTTTCCTTAAAAATATTCGAAATGCAAAATCTGAAACCTTCAAGACAATTTGATTGACAATAGCCCAGTACTTACTATTAGTTTCTCTAGATTACTGATTCTAACTTTTAGTGTTGCATTTTCTACTGGAGAGTTCTTACTGCAGAGCAATTACTGTGCTTTTGTTTTCTTAAATTTTGCTGCACAGGGCTAACAATGATACGTGAGTTACAAGAAGTAGTGACAGACAGTGAAAAGTATAAAAAAAATATTTTAAAGGAAGTAATACTTCATTTAATGGAGTAAACCACATTAAACTTTGGTGTAGGCATATATATATAATAAAACTTCTATTTGCCCTTTGGTTTGTTTTGTTCTTCTAGTGATGATGTTAAGATTTCTTGCACTATTTATTTTTCTGTTTTTATCCTATCTTTTTCATTTACTACTATTTATTTTGTCATAAGCACTTCTAAAAATCATGCCCCGCCACAGTGGTCTAGTGTAAGGTACTCGGCTGCTGACCCGCAGGTCGCGGGATCAAATCCCGGCTGTGGCGGCTGTATTTCCGATGGAGGCGGAAATGTTGCAGGCCCGTGTGCTCAGATTTGGGTGCGCGTTAAAGAACCCCAGGTGGTCGAAATTTCCGGAGCCCTCCACTACGGCGTCTCTCATAATCATATGGTGGTTTTGGGACGTTAAACCCCACAAATCAATCAATTCTAAAAATCAGTCAATGAAAATAGAATTCTTTGATTTATTTCTGCTTCATAGTGTTTTCCATACGCTCCAGGTATACCAAATAACAGCTCTTTTTTTATTATTCAATTCATGCAGTTAGACAACAAACACTGCAACGAACAAGCATTAGGCTATTCACTTACATTGCTGATCATTTTGTGTGGCTTCTGCAGTATCTTTTATTGCCTTTTTTGCTTCTTAGCTTTGTTTCTTGAGCTTATCAGCACATGTCACACTTACACGATTGACATGCATAGTTATCTAATGCTTCATCGCGAATGTTTTCACAGGCTAGTAAATGTTATGAAGTTGCCGTTTGGCACAAGGCGTGCCTCCATGTCTTGGAGGTTTCTTGAATGTTACTGCTCATTCTAGGCATATTGCGTGTGGGTTGTGAATAGTGGCACATATTTTAGAACTTCATCAAGCACCACTGATTACACTGACTCATGAATAAAGAGCTGATGTTTTTCATCTGGAGATCAGATTTTGATGTCTCCGTGCACAGCTGTTATTGTATTTGGAGTGCTACTAGTTTTTGACTGTGCATAAGATCTCGCTATAGAGAGTTAAATCTTTATCTATCGCTTTTCAATTCTTCACAGTTGATAGCACAACGCTGAACATAAAAGCTTACGCTCTCTGCCTTGCTCTTGCTGGTCAGGATCTTCGAGATGCCAAAGTCGCCAACCTTGACAATGCTGCGGCATTGGTTTAGGAGCAGGTTCTGAGTCTTGAGGTCTCTGTGCAGGATTTGCCTCGAGTGAACGTGCTCGAGGGCGAGCAAGACTTGTACAAAGTAGCTTAGAACTTGCTGATGAAAGAAAAAAAAAAGTCATTGAAAGAAGAAAGTTGGGTGCATGTTCTAAAACTGATACACAATGAATGACATAGGACTTGAACATCATGCATGAGGTAATTATAGTAATTCCATCTTAGGGATTCTGCGCGGGATCGCTGTATTGATTGTTTGAGGGAACACCATTACCATTAGTGCTCATGGGACACTCCGTGATTTCTCACTTAGCCTGCGCTTGTTTGGCTCCATAGGTAGGCTGATAATTTTGTGTGCAGAAAAGAGCGGGTGACGCGCCTAAACAGCTGCATTTCCGTGGCTACGACCCTAAAAGAGAATTTTGATCTGGAATGTATTCTGCACACATTTGCTTGACGAGATGGCATCTGTGTGAAGAGGAAGAGAAGGAAAGACTAGGGCGTCTTCAGCATATGCACTCGCCACATACCAGCAATCTTATTTCTTTTTTCTTATGCATTGTGGTCTTTGTTTCAGTCGCAAGCTTTTTCAGTACAGTTAAAATATCATCTCTCAATTTTTCAAAAATAATTTGCTGTGCTACGAATACAAACAAACCGCTAATGGAATATGCCTCGTGATGCTGGAAGTTATAAGAGTGAAAAATATTATACATTACCTCCTCGGAAATCAGAGCACCGCCTCTTTGCTTCAGGTAATCATATAAATTTCCACCTGCAAGAAAGTGATTCTTTTTGCACTGATCACATACTCATCAATTATCAAAACCCTTGTCCAAATTTTGTCCTCTCTACAACACACTGTACTTCCCTTTGATACTGCTTTTCTGTTATTATGAGGCATGCTCAGTCATGTTCGTGCACAAAAACTGTGTGTGTTACATGCGTTATGTCCACAAATCGGCTCACATGCGTGAACTGTCTTACATTTGTTGTTGGTAAAATGCACTGTTTGGAAAGTCTTACAAATAACATCTTCTTACAGCATGATTAAATAGTTTCCCAGGGTCTTTAGTTCGAGCATAGAACTATATGGTGTTGACGGATACTTCTCAGTATAATAATGCCTAAGACCACTGATTCCCACTAGCTCTGAAATCAATGTCTTTTTGATCCATTAATTTTAGTCTTCTTGCCACAGAATTAATATTCTAAAGCATAACCTCAAGCATGCAAGCCTACTTCACATGAAAAGTACAAACAAAGATGGCAAGAAAAATGTAAGTGCAGAAGTACAGCTGTGTTATTAACATGCACTCGGAAAGAGTGAACAGAGGAGCCTAGCATATCTGTATTACTCTTAATGTAAAACATGAGTGCCTTGTTATATCGTGCCATACATCACAGGGCTCCAGTTTGTTCATTGTCACATTGTAGGCGTGATAGAAATAGTATTGGTGCGTCATAGCTTTACAGAAATCGAGAGCGTTAATGCAGAGTACTCGTGGCCCCATGTCTATACATATGTATGTCAAAATGTCCCTTTGTTGACGTATCTACAGTTCCTTTTTGTGCTTTGTAGCCCAGTGCCTTTCGTGCTTCCTAGTGTCAAAATAATATGCAGCCAAGTGACACACCAGGCCCATGCTCTCCTACACTTCCTTGAGTGATTTTTTTTTTTTTTTGCCATGCCATACACTGCACAAAATGACAGCTGCCTGCCTGGCCCCCACTTCAGATCAAGATGGTCTCCCCCCTTTAAAAAAATTGAAAATTTTTGCCTACGCCCCTGGTCCAAGGGTTGTCCATCATTTGATGGGTGAGGGTCTCAGAAGTGTGCGATCACGTTGTGGTGAAATGCTCGCACATTTGGCTTTTAGTATATTATTCCTTTGTATAGTGCCCATGTAAAAAACACAAAACCTAAAAAAACTTATTTTAGAAGAGCTATGAAAGGCTACAGACATGTTGGTCTGTGAAAATATCTAAAATGAATGTTTTTCAAAATGTGCATCTTCAGGCCTAAATGTTGAAACAGGTTTCTGATCTTCATTGTTATGAAGCTATGGTGTCACGATAGTATTTTTCTGGCAGACAAGTTCGTAATGTCTTCAAGACCTTATTTAGACGTTTTGGTTTCAAGCGTGACCTCATGTCTTCCTAGCTTTGTCACCAACCTGAGGCGTACTCCATGACGATGGCCAGGCTCTTTTCCTCGAGGAAGCTGTCGTAATAGGCAATGATGTTTGGATGGTGCAGCATAGCCAGCACCTTGGCCTCATTCAGGGATCCTTCCTTCTCTTCACTGGACATCTGCTGCACAGGGATGTGCTTGATGACCACCTTCCGCCCAGTGGACTTCTCGGAATACAGTGTTACAACCCTGCAAGCAGAAAAGCAATGAAAGGATGTTTGTCATAGCGATCGCGTAGCACTGGTTGAACCTAGGCAGTTTTTATGTAGAATGATTGGTACTCGTGGTACAGCAGCGCATGAGCTGCAACTATAATAAAGCAAAAATAAAAAAGAAAGACAGCTCTAGGCAAATTTTCATCTGCATTGTGTCTTTCTTTTACACCCTCACGCACATCAATCTGATGTCCCTATGTACATGTCCTGACCCACTTCTCAAGTTTCTGCTGCCTTTTTTTTGTGAATAAACTAGGTTGTTGCAGGTTTTACTTTTACATGTGCCATGCTGCCTGTGTGACACTTCTTTTTTTTTTAAGGTTGGGCCACGCCTGTTCTTTTGTTATCAGTCGGAACAAGATAAGCAAATCCTTTGGCCATTTAGTCATTGATTTGAGGCATACACCATTGCAAGACAAAAACTGTTCTTGTTCCTGAAAACTGCACGTACTGTGCAAATATGGCTGGGGATATGAGTAAACATGCTGCCTTTATTTTTCTTGAAATACTTTTGAGCATGTGAAAGGGTCTTATCTAATTATTTGAACGTGTATCTCATAATTCAGAGGAAATTTTGTTATTAAAAAAAGAACAATGAAGAACGTGGTATTGCAATTGAAGCACAATGGCTGGTTGGCATCTAACAAAGCCAAATTGCCTATTTATATAAACGCCCAGAAACATTCTGTGAAATTTGGCAGAACCGATTCCGAACGTGCAGCGCAGCCGGGAGGCGGGGTAAAAGGGAGCGGGGTAGGCCGGGGTTTAAATTTCGGGTTTATCACTGCATAAATCCTTGACCTACTTTTGCTGCGCAAACGACGCACTGTGCGCATATGACAGCAGCTTGCTAATAACTGTGGTGACATGGTCGTTACCGTTATGTTGCTTTACAATTGTTCACGACCCAAGTCCCTTCACCCACGGCTGTGGTGGCTACCACGGCCACTGAAGTATGCATTAATACCCGAATGCTCCTCTTCCGACCACTTCAATCTTCTGGTATGCGTCCATCTTCGACGGGGCTGATGCGACTTCGTTCATCCCAAGTGGCTGACGGTTCTGCTCGCGCGAGAGCATCTTCGTGGCGTCGCCAAAGGATACTCACTACAAGTTAGCACCTAGGCGTATGACTACTGGACTACGGAACCGACACACTAGGCGTGCGGGTACGTTACAACTGTAACCCACTCCGTGCTGTAACCGTTAGAGCCCAGTTTTGAAGTTAGCGCCTTTTACGGCTTGTTTTTATGATGACGTTACACCTAGCTTCACATCTAAAGATACGTGCTGTGCCTTTTTTTTTGTTGGTTTGTTAAGACGATGTTAATACTTAAGTTGTTAGTAATAAGAAGTGTTCAAACAGGTTCGTTTTTCAATGAAATTAAATTACACGAAACTGCTTCCGTTGTTAGCTTTTCGAAAGTAGGCCATCAGAATCCAATCCGCGCGACCGTAGCCACTGCAATCCAGGACGAAGGGCACCGCTAGAGTGTACTAGAAGTGTGGAAAAGCAGTTCCCGCATCACAGCGACGTCCGATTCGGAATATTTGGGGGTTAAATAAAAGCAGGCTGGTAGCGATGGGCCAGAGCTACGGCACACTGACCACTACCAACGGTCATCCGCTGGTGACCATAGTGGAATCGGAGAAGAAAGTATTTCGGCCCAAGCATGATCCCTTGCTCGGGTTCCCGAACGGCCGAAAAGAACGACGTAAGTAGAGCAAACTGTTTTGTACGCCCTCCTTAATTACTATCCTAATCATCTCTGCAATATGATTGTGCTGTCTCGTTAGTTAAGTGCTTAACGTTACTGCGTGCGGTGCTGAACCGAGCGTGTGTCTGTGTCCTGCGTTGGTTGTGTGTCCGCCTAAACGTCCCTGTTCACACGCGCTGCTATCGGAAACCAAGTGGTAGCGTCCAAATGTTGCTTTCTCATCTGAGAGAAATACCATATTCTGCCCTAATGTTGCTTTCTGACTTGAGATAAATAGCGTATTCTGTCCATATGTTGATTTCTGACCCGAGAGAAATAGCATATTTTTGTGCGTTGCGTTGTAATGCGAAACTCGAATATGACCGTGAGAATTCGCACTCATGCAATTAGCTCTTCGACATTGTGAAAGCAGGGTTGTTTTATGCTAACAGTCTTATGGTTGCATTGCAAATTGATAACACGGAATCTGCGTCACAAAGGTAATTAAATGAGTTAGGTGATGGTACTGCGATAAATGCAGGGAAGATGTTCGTAGGAACATAGCGAGGGTGACAGTCACGGATGGCCATCTGTCCTTGTATTAGTGAAGAGTGTGAGCTGTTTCGCCTGATAGGGTCTTCCTATCTGTGAACTACTGTTACAACGCAGCTTCGCTGCCTTTCCATAAAGGATACTTCCAAGTTGCTTCATGTAGTCTGTAGGTAAAGGCAGGCTACACCCGTCCTTTTCAACTCTCGGTTGTGATTTCAACTAAAGTCATTGTTCACTTGTTCTCCGTCCATAGTCATATGCTTGTCTCACTACAGTTTGCCCAGAATTCTCTTTCGTGGAAAAGGAAGGCAGGACATGAAGGACACCACTGTCATTCTGGCACTCGTATGCCTTTTCTTCCTTTTCGGCGATACATATATGTACCAACTAGCCCAGAAGCACGTTTAAGACACAGTCTCTTATTGTTCTTCTGATATTCAGAGATGGTGGCCACCGATTTGGAGATGGAGTCGGCAAACCTGCCACAGGAATACAGAGGGTATTGTGCGCACAAGTTGATAGAGCTTCAAGCGTGCATGAAGCGGAACTTTCCCTTCGTGACCACCTGTGGCCACGAGAAACACGAATACAACGAATGCACGTATGAAGAGTAAGTGTCGTTTCTTGTGCATATGTGTTTTGATATCCGTTCTTACCGGGTGCAGCAATCGCGAAAATTCGCGAGTACATGCAATACTTGGTCACATCTGAATTCAATAGTATACGGACAACATATAAGATGTACACACGACAGGTGCAATCTGTCACTTGAGCCAGTTGGTGCTAACAGGGGTCAATCCGCTCGCGGCATTGCGGTTGATAGTCTGCTGTGTGTCATCATTTTAAGAGCTGTGTGCCTCTCCGCCAAAGTGGTTCGGGGGTAGAACGTCGGCTTCCCATTTTAAAGGCCCAGGTTCGAATCGCAGCAGTATAGCTTGTTACATCGTTCTTATTGTTTTTTTAAAACTAGCTTGAAAAAGTTACGTATTGCTACAAAAAGAAATTTTATCTGTGAAATAAAGTAGAAGAAATTTGGCAGTGAGCGTAATTATTTCTAACGCCACCGCACAGCATTCAACGAAAATGTAAAGTAGGGCTCCGGGATCTTTGCAAGTGTGAGTAGCATCGGAGGCCATTCATCACATTTTCGCTGAATACCACGCTGCAAATAATCATGCTCACTGTCCAATTTTTGTTTTTGTTTTACCGTTCACATTTCAACTTGCTTTCTGTAGCATTATGTACCAACTGAAGCTAGTTTTATGAAACAAAGAAAAACAATACAAGCATAACAAGTTACACCATAAAATAAACATTCAACATCTACAGTCCCATTTTTCTGAAAAGGTTTTCTCTTTTTCTTCCTAATTTTGCATGCCGCTTGGATCTGTGATTGAAACCTCTTGCCTAGAAATAGTGGCTTGAGTGCAAATGCAGCTACAATGAAACCTCCTTATAACGAACACCAATACAAAACCCTTATTACAACCCTTTTATCAGCGTGTATTCTTTAGACACAGAGTAATTGAAGAGGTATATCCTTCGATGTGTGTCATGTGTGAAATGCGCAAGTGTGCAAAAGCCCTCCTTCAATGTTCTGCATGTGTCCTCTGTGGCTCGTTGGTTAAAGTTTATGCAGCATTTTCTAAGTAGCAACTTAAGTGACCACATAGGAATCTGTGAAAGAGAGTCAGCGAGCAGCCTCAAATAGCTCTTAAAAGTTCTGGTGCAGTGCCAATATAGCAGGGGTAGGAGCAAAGCAATCCTGATGTATCTCTACATTAAATTGAAAGGTTATTTGCATGCATGTGCACTTGGTTCACTTATCTGATAAAAAATGTCTCATGCGCATGGAGATGGTTCCATAAAAGTGCCATCTTAAAGCTAACATGTCTGTTCCTATGCAATAAAGTTAAGGTGTCTTTGGACAAACAAGGCCTTTTTATTGTTGGTCTAGCCTAAGCGGAACGAATTTTCCAATTGTCATGAGCTCTCTTTGTGAGCTTGTGAAAATGAAGTACGAGTCGCCAGTGTTGTGTTTGGAGTTATCTTTATTCTTAAACACTATAGCACATCTACACAGGCAGAGAACACTGCCACCTGCACTCACAAAACAGGGGTGAAGGTTAACTACCCTCCTAACATCGTTCCATCATCAAGCAGTCATTTCACTCACAGAGGTTATGGGGCTGACGTGCTACATGTCACGTGTCATGAGCTGCAGTGATGGGAAACATGTGCCTCCATTTGTTCTTGCCCTCTTTCAGCCACATGATACGCTACAAAGAGTACGAACGGGAACGGAGATTGAAGGCGAGAGATGAACGCCGTGCTAAGAAGAATGTCCAACTGCTGCGTCAGTGAGTTGAAACACACGTTGGCACCTGTGAGATGTAACCCAAAGCTTGAGCGTCTGTACAACTCTTTAGGTTTCATTGCTTAATAAAAGAATATAAAGCAAAACATTGTAGCACTGCTCTCGTCCTTTTGTTAAATACACACCTCTTCTAACTATGTACCCTTCGGTAGCCTTACTAGAGAAAGAAATTTCGCTCATGTCTGTGAACAAATGAACCTGTTATCATTATTTGTGATACGTGCGCAGTGCATTTGTTTTTTGGTGACCAGAGAGTGTAGATCCAAGGGGTATGAAGTGAATGTTTTTTCGAAAAATAAACCAGTTGTTAGATTGCACCCGCTTGTCTTCCTTTCTGAGTCTCTGTGTGCTTGCACAAAAATTTCAAGATGGCCATGCCTCTTGACGTGTTGCAACTAGGTGCCATTGGAGAGCAGTTGCAACCGTACCACTTAGTCATGTGACACAACGTTGGCAGCTGCTTAAAGGCTGGTGCAGGGGTGTTGTGTACAAGGAAATGCTGCTAGAGGCACTGGCCACTTTAGCAGAAAGAAAAGAACAGGCAAGGAAAGGGCAGCCCATTCGGAACTCACATTCCAGGCATTGTGTTGTAAGATGCGTTGGATAAATGCATTGGCCTGGAATGGACCTGCATTTCACGTGCTTTGGAAAGATCTGTTTTGGGACAAAAAGCGCATTTGTGACAGTTGCCTCTTGCTAGTGATCCAAATGAGTGAAGTGGGCTTTATTAGCCGACAGGAGTTAGAGAAATGGCTTCTACTTTGTTGTTGTGCGATAAAGTAAACAAGGGCACAGAAAAAAAATTAATTGAGGTACGTTTTAGAGCGCAACACAGTCACTTTCCAGCAATAGGTCGATTGAGACGTAAAATCTCGGGTACTGTTTTTTAGAATAGGTGGATTACCATCTCTACAGCTGTCCCTGTATGACTGAGAAAATTGTACAGTGCATGTCATGATACAACACAGCATTATTTGCTTGCCTCTAAGTTCACACGCTATGTGCTGTCTCTTGGTAATTTCATAAACGCCATGATGACTGATTGGCTCGGCTAACACTTCTAGGGCAAACTTTGTGCTTCCACACAAATACCTGGGACATTATATGAGGGAATGGCCTTCACTCTAACAATTGGTAGTGTACTGCATCTGTAAGGCATAGAGTTCGGTCTTCACTCTGACCTGTGCCAAGTTGTTTCTTTGGGCCACATTCATTTTCTCAGTTTTGGCTTTCACACATTTTCAGCCGCTTTATACCGATTTCATGACAAAAACAGGGCAAGGAGTAAACAGGTGTAAGCATATTTCAGTTGTTAATCACTTGAATAATGGCGTGTCATGAAATGAAAAAAAGTTGTAGGGTAATTAAGCTTCGCCTCCAAGACTGGAACACAACTACATTACATTTTCATTTGTTTGCTATGCCTTCCTTCCTGGCTCCTCAACTGTCGTGAATAAGTTTTACGTGAAGGCCTTTCTAGACTCCCCTAGGGTGCTATGCCAGAAATGCGCAGGTTAAGCTCTGCTTGCCCCTAGTTTCTAGATAAAGGAAGGGCTGTCGATTCTTGTTTTCGGAGCGTCGCTTGTGATTGGATTGCTTGCAAATGGCTCACCATCTTTCAGGCTTCCTGATATATGCATTGTGATGACCACTAAAGTGACATACCTTGCTCCTCCCATTCCTTCAAGCTTCTGTAGTGTCCGCCATAAGTTGTTTGTCTCTCTTAAAAGCTGGTATCACCTCTACAATGATTCACAGAATATCTTACACGACGTCACTGATCTCCTGCGTGAACTTGAGCAAGTGATTGGTCTAGTGCTGTTTGCGCAACCATTCTCTGTCTTACATGTACAATTGTGCACCTCGTAAGGCATGAAGCCACATGTGCCTTCCACTTCTGTTCAGCCACGACAAGTGTCGGTTGGTGCTCTTACCCAAGGTAGCAGTGTGGAAGGACAGTAGAGCGATTCACTCTTTTGGTGCTATGAAGGCAACAGCAGTGCATACTGAAACCTGACTCAAGAGTGATCCTTTAAAAATATTTTCGACATTTGTGCCATGTAGCTTATCAGAAGCTCATTTTGTCTGTGTTCCCGTACATGCCAGAACTTTTCTGAATGAATCGGCTGACTCATTCGCTACATATTCAGATAGCCTGCTGTTAAATGTGCTGCCACATTTTTTTTTATTTTTGTTACAAGAGCTAGATTTCAATCTCTTCAATTCCTAAGATGTTCTTGAAATGTCTCATTCAGTTCGATGGTTACTGACACTTTCAGTTCCAACGGATGCCTTTTATGTCAATACAAGGCGACTCTAACAAGTTTCCATTGTAGAGTACCTCGTCATACATTTCTTCCTTCAGAAATCTGGTTTCTCATTAACTAACCTGTGTACAGCTTACAGTGTACCAAAAACAGTTGATCACTTTCTTCTTTTATGTTGCCACTTCACATCCTTCTGAAGATTATTTCCTACAATGCAGACCGGTACATTCGATGCAAGCCATGGTGCTTTATTACTGCTTAACACAGTCACTGACATATCTCGAAGGTTATACCGCTGCTGCACAAAACAGTTCAATGTCATTTGTACCTAATATTTGTTACTGCCATTTGTACCTAATAGGCTTCCACACTGGGATGCCTAAAATCATTAAACAAATATGACTTGTGCAGATGAACGACTTCTCTTATATCAATCGAATGCGTCTCATTCAGCCATAGGTGAGCAAACTCGCTCATGAGTAGACTCGCTCAGACTCGGATCGAACCACGAGTCCGAGCGAGTCTGGGTTAGTAATAGTTTGGCGAGTTTGAGTCCAAGGTAGTCCGGCCGAGGAAAACTTTAACGAGTATGAGTTCGAGTGAGCTCTAAGCAGAAAATATATTTCTTGAGCAAGTCCGAGTGAGCTCCACGTGTTGTTGCCGACCCATGCTGTTGGACCCTCACTGAAGAGAAGCCACATACAAGTTATACAATAAAAGCTGAATATTCATTACAATTAATATTTTGGATGCAGAGCATCTCTTGCCCGGGCATATGTCGTGCGTCAATAGTCCGCATTCATACTACGCATGCGCGGCTTTCCTCATTCCCTCTCACCAACAGCTGTGCATTACTCTCTCCACTTCTCTCCTACCACCTGCTTGTGCTCGCTTTCCCATTGAACATGTGCGTCCCTTCCCCTCTCTCTCCTGCCTCGCAACACTAACACAAGAAGCGTTTGCTAAGCTACACTGGCTTCACGCCCTCCTCTAGTAATCCCTCCCCGCAGCGTCTCGCAAAGCCGACGCAGGCAGTGTCTTCTAGCGAGTTTCTTGATTGAAGAAAAAAAAAAAAAAAAAGCCAACTGATCGCGCTTTGCGACCGCAATGCGCTTTGTCTCATCGTGGTTCCGGGAGACGGTGTAGTTTCTTATTTTCAAGTGCCTTGTCTTATTTTTTAGTGAATAATTTAGCTTTGTCGTTCTCAAAGGTTTGAGCATCTTTGTTTCCAGCGACACTGTCAAGAGCAGTGCTGGTGATGTCATGCCGTGTGCTCAGTAGCATTCGGCAGAGAGACGTGCACCGATGACATCTCTGTACTCTGACAGGCGTTTGCTGAAACCAATTTCAGCCAACGCAACATACGCATATTATTTTTTTGCACACGGAGTTACTTCTGTGTTTATTCCAGTTAGTGCTGCTTTGCAAATGCCATCATCGGCAAATAACATTACCTCTTGCCATGTATCAGCGCCTGATTTCATTTTGACTTGTCGAATGTCGCCAAATACAAATGGCAATAAACTGTCCCGTGTCAGGGGTGCTACACAACCACTAGAACAAAATTCTCAGAACATCTCGCTCAGTACTATTCCAACGAGAATTCACCAACCTACATCAGGCTTTTCCCCTTTGTGTTCTCTATGTCAATTAGTGTTTAGTACTGTTACACTTAATCCCTTTTCATGCATTTTTTTATTAACCCCAATGTGGCTGATTCTCCTCGAAGGTATCAGCCAGATTTCTTAAGCTCGGCTTCAAGGTTGCTGCATATGTCATGGTTTCGTATGGTCAAAAGAACCTCATAAATCTTAGTTGACATGCATTGTCTCCATGATGGTGCTTATCTCGGTAGCTACAAGATGCCAGTGGGATCTGCTTCGTGTGGCAAACTAGCACAACGATTCGTATTGCACTGGTGAGGTTGATTACATCAAGATTGACGTGGAAGTCGAATGCGTGTCTCAATATTTGTGCATAGCCTACGGCATGAAGATGTGTGCGAAGAGTGCATGGTAGAGTGCACAGTGAAGGAACGTATAAAGTTAGCATCATTAAATAGTCTAGTGAAATATGTTCAAAAGTTCTGGCTTGTACTTATCTGATGAAAAACATAAAATTGGTAAATAGAGAAAAAAAAGATAGTGAAGAGCCAAGTTCTTAGTGTTCGATTTTTGCTGCTGCATCTTATTGCCTGTGGTTGTATTTGCGAAAATTCTAAGCAAAAATGTTCCAACTCGGATGTATATATTGTAAATGTTCAAGTTATTTTTTGCTCCAAAAACATTGTAGGCAAATCTCTGCATCTCTGTTTAAGTTCCTTTATGTTGCAAAGTAACTATATCTGTAAACTCTTGTGGCTCAAGATTTTGTCACCCTTCACTTTTACATAGTTACAAGGACTGCAAGCAGTGTAGTGGATCGTACCATTGCCCTTTTTCGTTTTTTTCTCCTTTAAGACCTTTTCTTTTATTCCCCTTACCCCCTTCCCTAGCACAAAGTAGCCAGTCAGTCTGAGAACTGGCTAACCTCTCCATCCCTCCTCCTCCTCCAAGGATACTGAAAATCTTGACATTGTAATGAGTTAGTGGGGTGACTTGAAGTGCCACATCTTTTTTTTTTCCAGGTTTTTCTGATGTGACCAAGACCCTGCTCACAGTAAGAACATTTTTTGTACTTTGAATCAAACCTAGCCTCACTATTCCAAGTTATTCTCCTACGAGCATTGACAGCAAGTTTCATTGTTCTGCAAAATTGCTAAAAATGAAATTGAGCACTCGTGGACTTGGGATTTGAGCAAGCCGTAAATGTGCATAGTGGAGTGCACAGAAACTTAAGTGCTAATAATGGCTGTACCATATTTTGTTATATTCACACTTGCTGCTTGCCAGGGTTGGCCAGTTCAATAGAAATGACACCACACCAAGGTTATCAAAAACAGTTTTAATCTCCCTCAAGAAAAAAATGGGGGTGGATTGGGGGGTCAGGAGCAGGTTGGCCAAGTGCTGCTCCCCCTTGCTTTGCTATTGCAGCATTCTGCTTTTGTAACAGCCTTGCATACCTAGGGCTTGCCAAAGCAGGGGGCCCCAGTTTTTTTACTCCATGCACTACAGCATCACCTAAACAAGTACGTAGGCAAGCTGTTCAAAAAAAACCTCACTGTAAAGTACACCAACGGTCGTGGTCTAACCATGACTAAGAGCCGTGAATAACCACTCTGCTTTAAGAAATAAAAGATTAAGCAGCCCTTCATTTTTCTTGCATGACAGAGTGTCTCAGCAGGACTACAATTGGAAACCGACAAGGTTTGAACGTTGTAGAAGGCCCAAGGCTCGACAGACTCTGCTGAGAAAACTTTTTGGCCAAGCATATTATCTCCCCCCACCCACCCCAACCCTTAGAACATTATCGGAGGTCCATCTGGCAACACTGGCAACACCACGTTCTCTCTCCAAAACGGATAAAATGACAAAACAGTTGCAGCCAAGGTTTGATTGCAGCAGTTTCGCTCATTTGAATGCATACAGGAATGCACCGTGATGCATAGTTACTCCAAGCCTTGGCTTCATTTTTTTTACACTGTGTACAAAACTATTCACTTGCTAATGTTAAAGAAAAAAAGAACAGATGAATCTATTATATAGACAAACTGCTACGCTCTCTCCCATTTCCATTTACGTGTGTTTGTGTGTATAGCCTGGCAAGGCCTTTAGAGTTTTCCAATTTATTTTCTTGCTTCTTTTCCTGCCAGCATCAGTCTTTCACACACACACATACACGCACACAACTTACGCAGTTGCACAAATCCCCATCCAATGTTAGCGCCGGCCATGGCATCAGTGTGCTGGCCAATGTGTTACGCACGTAACAAAAAAAAATTAGTGCTAGAAGCTACACACAATCAAACTGGTAGAATGAACAAATAAACAGACAGGTGGGGGGGGGGGGAAGGGGAGGGAAAGCAAGAAAGAACCAATTCATTGACCGCAGTCGTATGCAGCAAGAAAAAACATATCCAGAATGGGCACATTTGAGAGGCACAGAGGCTACCTTCACTAGACAGCACTCTAGTAGGGCCTTGTAAGCCTTGCCACAGTGTCCCATCATGCTCTCTGTCTCTTTGTTAAGTACACACAGACACGAGACACCACGTGCGTGTCTGTCATTTCTTGGCAGAGAGCGAGACTGCGGGAGACGCATGCGGAGATAGCGACAAAGTCCCACGCGAAAGGGGGTTGTTCTCCGATGACTTCCGACAACGAAGCGTCGCGCCTTTTGGTCCTTCCAGCGACGAGATGATGACGCAAACGGCTCTGCAGTACGTGCGTCGGCATCGAGAGAAAAAAAAAAATGCGAACCATTTGGCGAGAAACCAAACACGAAGAACACACACGTGCACACTCGCAACATTGCTGCTTGAAAAGCGATGCAGAGGCTGGGGGCGGCGGAGAGGAGCACCGGCAGCGTGGCACATGTCTCGAGGGCACCCCTTGCCGCTTTTCTCACCTGCGCCCCCCTCTCCTCCTCGGTTGTCTATCGGCTCGCATAGTCTGTCTTCTTATTGAAGAGCGCGAGGAAAGTCTGTGCACTGCACAAAGAGTTTTTCCTGCCATCCGCGCGCACAGATACGTCGAAGGGAGCGACAAAAGCAACAGGAAGGACACTTGCTCTTCCGTCGTCGCACAAGCGAGTGCACCGATGAGTTGTACGCAACCAGACAAAAAAAATTTCACCGTGCACGTTGCATCACCCACGAAGAAAACACAACGAAGGCATGGACGAAACGACTGAGACCTTGTGGAGGGGAGCGGGCGGGGTCTCGTTGCAGAGATGACACGATGTTGTTCTCAAAGGCCCTGTTACTTTTGTTTGAGTCGCATGCGTACAGCCGAAAACGTGTGGCCCTCTGGCTTCCTGCAAAGGTGTGTCTCGGCGGGCATAGGGACGGAAGGGGGCGGGAGGCTGGCTTCGCTTCTGCTCTTTGCTTCCTGAGTGCGGAGACTGCTATAGTACTACACCTTAGCCTACGGGAAGCGTTCTTTAAGCTGCGTGGATAGGCTGGAAAACTAGACTACAGACAGGCTCCAGATACCCTACCACAGTTAACCCGAAGGCGAGAAAGCTACAAGCTACATTAAAGACAATGCAAAACAGTTCTAACTTTATTTCCACAACTTGCATGGTCCTGCAATTGAGGTGCGAGTCGCCCGCATTCATTAGCTTGTATACTGGCCTGCTAGAATCCCTGTCAAGTGCAAGAAAAAAAATCCTAGTAGGTAATGTAAAAAAAACGTCTAGGGAGTTAAGTGCAGTACGTCGAAGGGAAGTAGGCAAGAAAACACCTAGGACGTGATGTAAAAACACAAACCTAAGGTGTCAAAATAAAGGTGTGGCACACATCTTGGAATGGCTTTGAATGTTGTGGCTGGGATGTGGGGCGGCGAGGAAATACAGGGGAGCAGTGCTAAAGTTGCCAGCTCGTTAAGAGTAGTTTTTTTTTCGGTACAACATAGAAAATAAAAGAAGCGTGCACTCTACTAAGTGAAAACACTCGGTATTCTCGTGAACAGTAAACTTGCTAGAAAACAAGTAATAATAGCGATAGTAGTGGTCGAGTGCGTGCAACAGCCACCTATTGTTGCCACAAGAGGTACACAACATCGCTGCATGCGGGACTTTTCTGACGCCATTGTGTCCCTAAAGCGGCCAGTGTCCTTAGAAAATAAAAAAGCCCTCCTCATCCAACTTCTCTCTTCTTGGATGCTTTTTGATTTTTTTCTGACACGGTAGTAAACAGTAGCAGCAGGATATATGAATGTGAGGGTGAAGAAATGGGGGAGAATGCAGCCAATAAGGTGAGAGGGGGTGGGCAATTGGGAGGAGGAGGGCAATAGCTGTGTGTGCGCGGCAGGGTTTTGCACGTATCACTCCTGCTTCTTGTCGTGCTCGCTGTTCTCCCAGTCGTGCAGGCCGTTGATGTGGCAATAGCCGTCCAGGAAGCTGCCGTTCTTTTGCCTGCCGTTGGCCGTGCGCTTGACGAAGCCGTTGGTTCCGTTCTTGGCCTCTCCATTGAGCTTCCCGTTGGCCTTGCCGTTGGCGTCGACGGGCGTGGCACCTTGGGCGCGACCGTTGGAGACGCTTCGAGAGAAACCCTTGCCAGTGGCAGCGTTCTTGAGCCTCTTGGCGAAGTAGGTGTTCTTGTAGAAGTCCCAGAAGAGGAACCAGAACATGATGGCGTGGAAGCCGATCCACCACATGAAGCCGCGAGGGTAGTTGCAGTCGGGCCGGAACAGGAGTTGGAATGAGTGCACGAAGATGGCAATAAACTGCACCTGCAGGTAGGGAAGGGGGAAACAAAATGCATTAGTCTAGGCTTAACACTTATGCATGCATGCCGATATTAAAGGTTTATGTATCATCATCATCTCCATTGCATGCTCAGCCTTAAAATAGTAGCAAGGAAACAAACTGCCCTTACTTGTAAAAGCTGTAATTAATTAATTATTACCTTGCACATCTTGTACAATACATCTAACAGTGGCATTGAGACTATTTTTTCACTTTGATACAATACACTACTACCACTTATATGTTTGAAATTTGGAACATTCTTGCACTGCATTGTTTAAGTGAGTATCAGGGAAAACATGGCAAAATGCCACACTGATTTTCCGTGTCCAAAAAAAAAAAAAGGAGACGCTACCAAACCGGACGGTGCTTTTTACTTCAAAATAGGGGGCATACCATCTGAATGGTTGTCATGTGCTGCTTCCACCAAAGGTACTTGGACATGTGGGGACCCACTGCTGCCAGTCCGTAGTAGAAGTACATCAGGATGTGCACGAAGCTGTTTACAAAGGCAAAGAAAGTGCTGTGGCCACCTGTGGGAAGAAACAGAAGATATATATAGTTTGCTGATTGTGAAGTTCCACAATGTCCAAAGATATTGTTATAGGGAAGACAGACTTTGAAGTCACAGACATGTGGGAATATGCTTATGTACATATTTACAACTGGTTAGGTGAGCAGCAGTGTTGTGAAGAGCTTGCGCCAGTCTATCTTCTTTCGTACTCCTCTTCGTCTTATTGATCACTATGCCACTGGTACATACGAATGTAAGTGCAGTACAGTTGAACCTACATGCACTGAACTGGCACATACCGAACTATTGCTGGTATTGAGCAGTTGTAAATTCTACCTACACCAAATCATATACCTTGAGATCCCCTTCAGGTTCGGTATATCCAGGTTCGACTGCTTGTAATCATATCCTTGCATGTTTATGAGTAAGGTGGTTGTTCGGGCTAGCCGGTGAACAGTTTTCAAAGGTGTGTACTACAAAAGTAACGTTAGTGACAAAAGAAAGAGTGCTCGTCCTAATCTCTGTGTCATTACTCGCAATAAACACCGTTGGGTGTTCTTGCTGAATTATTTCAATTCTGTACCACATTGCTCTAACTACTAAAGATTTTCGCTCAGCAAGTGGAGCACTTATTAAACGGAACACCTTTACCTGGTCTCTCCAGGTTTTGTTAATCGGGACTCCGCTGTATATCATGATTGAAACTGACACGCAATGCCCTATTATCAATCGAGTGTGTCAGCAGTGAGAAGTTGCACATTTTCCCCAAGTTAATCAAGTGACGATTGGATCAAAAAGATCAAGGGGAGGATGCAGTGGTGGAGGATTGGTGATGAGGATGACTGGAGTGATGAGCGGATCAAAACCAATGAGTGGGCCGTGAAAAACAAAAGCACACACTCACCTGGTGTGAATTTGACGCCCCACCACACGCTCATGGGCATCATTCCATGGTGGATGACGTGCAGCGTTGAAATGTGGGTGAACTTCTTTCGTAGCACGAAGAATATCTGCGTAACAGGAGCAAACAAATACATCACAAGCCTCGCCAGGGCGGTACACTTTTGCCAAGTCCATTTAGCATCTGGCTATGTACAGAACCAACTCAAGCTTCGATATAATGAACACGGATGTAACGAAATAGCAGTTATAATGAAGTAAATAATAAAATAGTCTTGCAATATAGTGTTAGGAACAAACCTTTATGATGAATTTTTGGATGCAACAAACTTATTTTTTGTAAGATGCAACTCTGTTATAATGAGGCTTGAGTGCAGTGCCTAAAAGCTGCAACGAGTGAACTGACCAGACTAATCATGTTGAATTTTATGTGTAGTCTCGTTTTGTACAGTTAAATTTAAGGATGCGATACTGCGGACATTCATGAGTTAGTGAAAATTAACGCTGAAACAGAATGAAGTTTCATCAATTTGGCACAGGTTACTAAAGAATCGCACATGACAATGCTTCCCAACCTCCTATATTTGCATCATACTGCCCGTTTTCTTATTGATTTATGAAGAAGTTGCATGCCCTTGTTGGTACGATGGCAGCAGTTATCACCAAGAAACATGAAAGTACATTAAGCAGTCATGCATGCAATGTTCACTGGGTAGTTAAAAAGAAAGTCAGTAGCAATATGCTTCGAATCGTACAGATATTCTCAGTCTTCTCATGAGATGTTATTCCAGTAAACAGCTGCACGGAAAGATGTAAATGCAAGTGTATTAACCATCTTGAGAATGTATAGGAATACGCAGGCAGTTTAATCCCATGTTCAATATTTTCGAAAAGGCACTCACTGTGTCGATGAACTCGACGAATTTTGAAATGTAGTACCACCAGGAAAGATGGGTCATCTGGAATGGGAAGGAAGATAAGAAACCATAAACAAAATTAAAATTTAAGTACTCGAGCCGTATAGCTGCAGAGCACATGAAGTGAAAAACGGCCTACATGTTTAATTTCACAGACTTTTCGGGACAAGTGTTTAAAAACATCATTGAAGATGCAGAAAATGGCTGTGATTTAAATTAGCAAGTTTACTCGACTGTGACATTATGTTTTCACTTATTGCTGAAACGACAAGCTTACAATAAAAGGGCATCTGGTTGCATAAATGAAACTAAAAGTTATTTTAGTAGACCAGAAAGTGCAGGCAAGATAACGAAAATATTACATCGGTGCATGTGAAAGCTGCGCTACTCACACAACAAGCTGCTACACACTAACACGAGGTGAAAGGCAAAGAATGTAAATCGTATGGGGAGACTCTGGCTGTACTTGCATTAATGAGTCTCCCCATACAATGCTCCAAGTGAATCTTCGCCAAATCACTCCATATCAGCATCCGTTAGTGTTAACACACAGCGCTGAACTTTACCGCTCACAGGCAGTAGAACCACATCACCCCGCCAACAGAGAGTTCCGTGCGCCAGAGAATGTGTGAGAGATATAAGGCGCATTAGTGAAGGCTTGTGCGCATGCGATGGTGGTGTAGACTGTTGAGCACCGGGCGCATGTCATCGTGGACCGAGTGGTCGGAAGTTGGATTACCCGTGGCGGTACTTCTTAGGGTCCTTCTTAGATCCATTAGAGTAGATTTCCAGTCATATCAGCGATGCAAATAGGTCGGAGAAGTCTTAGTGAACCTCGGTATAAAATATTTTCTTGTTAAAAACACAAAAGTATTTGTTTAAAACAAAAGGAAACCTCTCAAATGCCAGTTTCAAAGATGTACACCTTTTCTGCAAGATCACGAGTTTAACTTGTGCTATAGATAAGCTGCTGGCCAATCATCAAACACCTAGTCAAACTGGAGCGGGTGCATGGGAGGCCTTCAGTGGGAGATTTTGGCATATTTACCCTTCATGGGCATAATTGGACACACATTTCCCTACAGGAAGACTGTACACTATAGAAGATAAAAATTGCTAAGGCTATGTTACAGGTATGGTGTCACTTTTGATAAACAGAGTCCAACCACTACAAAATGGTGCTTAAAAGTGCTTACACAATATTTGGCAGATCCCACGCACCTGGGAAGCGACATTATGCAAAGCATGCGGAGGGAAGGTGACTGTGCTACAACTTTTTATTGAGCGACACGTCATGAAACGACGCTAAATGTGTGTACAAATGTTGCACGCTCAGACATGCTGAAGAGTTGCAGATATTTATATAACCGTTTGTTTACACTTGCGCAATGATGCCAACTGGAACATGCATATTAGCAACACCAGAAGCTGATATGAAGCGCTGGTGCTCGCGAGGATGCTGGCCCTGGACACTGATACATAAATCAACTTCAGCGCATGGCAACTAACCACAATTAACATTAACTCGACGTGAGGGCTGTATCAGTACATACGTAATGTTTATAAAATTGGGTAGGCAGCACTGGAACTACTATTGACGTTTCACGAAGATTAGCATCTATTTGAGAAGTAGTTCAAAGATCTGGCGTAGCTTTGTGGTAGAATGCTTGCTTGCCATGCAGAATGGTTGGGTTCAATTCCTGCTAGGACTCTGACAATCTTTGCATTCGTCGGGTCAACACTACTGATGTCTGGTATTTCTTAACGCTCGCGCGTTGAAGTTGCCTATCTATGTGTGTTCTCGTCGTTCCTGGGTAGATACCAAGTGTCAATCACCTGTGTCACATAGCCGCCCGTGGGTATGTGCTGCTGTCGGGCGGGACGTGTTTGACGATGTATGCGAAGAGATTGTGACATTATTGATGTCTTGACCAGCGCATTATATTTATCAAACCATCTTACCCTCCCATGCTAACTGGTTCATGCCAAGTTAAGGGGGTGCCCCGCCGCGGTGGTCTAGTGACTAAGGTACTCGGCTGCTGACCCGCAGGTCGCGGGATCAAATTCCGGCTGTGGCGGATGCGTTTCCGATGGAGGCGGAAGCGTTGTAGGCCCGTGTGCTCAGATTTGGGTGCACGTTAAAGAACCCCAGGTGGTCAAAATTTCCGGAGCCCTTCACTACGGCGTCTCTCATAATCATATGGTGGTTTTGGAACGTTAAACCCCACATATCAATCAAGTTAAGGGGGTGACCACAAGAGCACCCAAATGTAAGCGCCTAGATAGATAGATAGATACGCTCGAAGTCGATGAAGTTCACTAAGTAATGCTTTGCATTTAAAAAAATTCAGAATTACTCCCTATTACTTGTTGCAGAAGCCAGGCCGTGCCCAGCACTCACCAATATTGCTTCCCTACTGTCTGTGTAGTCCACAGGCTGGCACTTCCAGTTGTAGTGCCCGAACCAGCCGTAGAAGCCAAGCTGCAAACAATGAACAAGCATCTTTAACAGGTGCTTGGCGAAATATGGCTGTCACATAATGCCAATTCCACAAACCTAAAGTCATCACTTTCAAGCCAATGATGTACACTGTGGAGTCATTTAATTTTTCTAAACATTTCCAATCATCTCTGTTTGGAGTTGACCAAACCAATCGCGAGACTAATGTAGTGTTATCCTTGTAATCTATCCCTCTGCCATCTTTGAACTTTTTCTTCTATTGATTCAATGAACATTGTGAATGCTATTCCTTAGAACATTAGCTGCAGTTCGGTCTGCTGGCCTTCCCCCCTTTTAATTTAATGCTTATCAGTACATTCAAAAGGCATTATGTGCAAAGTCAGGCTAATAAAGCAGTTGCTTCACTTGATTACAAAAAACCCAGATGAGCCCATTGATAACATAGGTAAAGTACTGCTTCTTCAACCATCAAAGACTAATCAAACATTCATATTATGGCCTGAAGCGGCCACACATCTCTCCCGTTTCATCTCTCGACTCACAACATTAGACACTCAGCTATATAAAATTTTAGTTGCCCCGTCCACCATGCCCTCACACAAAGAACATTCTGCCAGAATCTCCCCATTCATCATGCCCTCACATCATAAAAATTCTACCAAAAGTGCGTTAATCTCCCCATACATCATGCCACCACTCAAAGAATGTTTTCTGCTCATGTCCACACACAATGAACATTCTAGGAGAACTGTGTTAGCCTCCCCATCGATCATTCCCTCACACAAGCATTCTAGCAAAAGTGTGCTAACATGATAAAATGCAGCAGTGTCGCTGCATTTTATGTAAGAAACAGTGTCCCTAGTTTTAGATCAGAAACCTAAACATCCATGTAAATTTTGTCAGGGACTGTCATTGATGGTCAGCCAAACCTAATGCTTTAGTAAGTAACAAGGAACCTTGAACTCTATGTGCAAAGCATTAACACTAGCAGAGAGAAAGTGCTAGCACTTCAAGCGGAAACCAGCTTGCACAACCATCTTTCACAGGTGAAGAGCAGGGCAACCCGGTTCCGTAAGCAGAGCTGCATTTTTTTTTCTTGGGTTGCAGCAGAGTATAGCTCATATGGTAACTATACAGTGGGGACACATATGCCATTAAGCGTGCGGCATTGCTAGCACATCAGCAAATGACCAATGTTCACAGCACATCCTCGAGGGTGCACCGATGGGAAGTGCACAATGGATGCCCACGTACCAGAAGAAATATGGCCAGGCTGACGGCAACCATGAAGAAGTTGTAGCCCACCATGACCCAACGCAACTGCATGGGCTCCCGGTTCTTCATGAGGGATGGGCCCAGCACCTTGACAAAGTAGGCGTACGACAGGCAGATCGTCAGTGTCGGCCATGGGCTCTGCATGAAGAGCCATTCCTGCACCCTTGAGTCTGAAACAGCGATGAAAAAAAAACGCCGGTCAGCTTACAGGTATCGCAACCAACACCAATGCAAATTATCAGCAGAGTATAAACTAACGCAACCTAAACTCCTAATAAAGAGTGGCCAGGAGGTGGAAGAGGGCTAGTTTGGATGCCCTACCCACAACAAAATTTATACGGCAACACCAACACATTTTTCTGCTGATGTTAACCTTGAATACAAAATTATGGAGGATGGCTGTACAGTGCAAAAATTGTGCAGCCCAGCAATAAACAAGTGCAGTTGTGAGCATGTTCTTTTTTATTTTTCATTCTGCTGGAGAGCTTATCCATTACAGTATTGTACCACTGTGTTGCAACACTGCTGAGAAAAAGCGCTGTCATATGAAGGTCTACAAAAAATATATCAGTAAGCCATAATTGAGGCTGCAGAAATTAACCTCGAACAACTTTAACAGGAGATGCTATACTAGCAAACAAAAGCTTAGTCTAATTTGGTTACATAACTGGACAGAAATAGAACAGCAGGCTAAAAAAAGCATTCCATCTTTTAGAATCAATTTATGGCATCATCTAAAAAGGATAACAAGTGAATACCACCTAAAGGATAAACGATAGCACAAAAGTAATTTTTGTTCCAACTTCCTTTGCAACCTTAAATCATCTAGCAACCAACAACTATGCCCTCAAAAATCTTTTTAGGCATCAACCACCTAAAAGATAAACGATAGCACAAAAGTAATTTTTGTTACAACTTCCTTTGCAGCCTTAAATCATCTTGCAACCAACAACTATGCCCTTGAAAATCCTTTCAGGCATCAACTTAGCTGAAATGTGTAACTGTATGAAGAAAACCAGATAAAAATCAAAGGTTTTGACAATGTTAATAAAGGTGCCTAAACCCAGTGGAAAACTTACAAAGAAGTCTCGCGATATGTAGTATGATATGTCATCTGCAACTAACTCCTGGAATTCCAAGGCAGAGCCTGCCGTGTACTGTCACACACTCGTCTAGCGCTCGCACAGGTTTGGGCGATTGTGAAGCAACATTTGCTTAAGTGGTGACACGACACCGGAGACGTTTGTAGAGCTGGCCAACTGTTTTCCTCAAATGAGAACAGCCGATGGTGGCGTGAGCGAGAGCCCTGTCCCATGTTTGCTTTGTGTGTTTGCTGGCACCGCATGTGGCAGAACAGTTTAAGTGGTGGTGCAAAGCCGTATACTAGCAAATCCGGCACAAGGTTTCTAGTTACACAAGGTAACGCGAAGTCATCAGTGAAAAATTATTGCCCTTCCACTAGTAAATGTGTTTACGAGGCTCAGCTATTGCCCTTCTTTGCTAACCATCGGCTTTTTATCTTTTCGAGACTTGTTACACAACTGTGTCGGCTAGGTGCTAAGGGCAATTTGCATACAGATTTGGATTAACTCAACTTCCTGCATAATAAATTTGTTGTCACTTCGGCAGTGTACCGCTTCATAAAATCACTTTTTTTTTTAATAATTACCATGTCCGATGAATTCTGAAACATGGACCTCTGCAAGCCATGTCAAAAATATAATTTTTCCTTTGCTCAAAATGGATATGACTTGAAGTGTTGCACTTCATTTCTCGCCTAAAATTTCATTAATATGTTTACACAAAAATAGAATGTGAACGACTTCAGGACAAATAGATAGTAATTGCAAATCAAGGTTCATTACTCAACACAAAATGTTACGACACTGCTTTTGTTGCAATCGAATATCGAGTACCTTGAAATAGTGAGTAAATCCGATGTATTCATTCGCAGTTAATAATAGGTCGCGCATGAAAGGGTTGATAGGTATATTGAACATGTGCTGGTTACAAATGACTTGGTAAACTGGCAGTTACCGAAATTCAACTATACGTGGTAGATTATTGCATATAAACCAACGTGTCAGTTTAATATAATATTCTGTGGATATTAATGAATTGAAAGTTTTTTTTTTTTTCAAAGTGCAAGCAACACCCGCAGTACCTGACCGATCAAATGCGCTGTGTGTTCCGTACAATGTCTATCCAAAATTACAAATTCAGTGAGCAGCTCGAGCGGGGGCATACAGGAAAGCACAGGCACGGGTGTCAGTAAAATTTTGTTTACGGGTGCGGGTGCGGGGGGGTCACAACAGTGTTGGATTGCAGTGGCAAGATCGGGGGGGGGGGGGGGGGGAGGGAGAGCAGGTGTGGCTTCACTACCACGTAAAGAGGTGCTATGGAGGGCTAACAGTGTTCTAAAGGCTTCTAGAGAACACTGTAGGCGGGCGGTCGGAGGTGGGCACGCCAGCTCGCGCAGTTCGGAGTGGCGCGGTCTCGCTCCCTTTCGCGCCGCGGTTTACCTTATCCCGATCGACGTAGCGGGAGTGCGACACAAGTGCCGCCGCGGCCGGCCTAAGCACTTTTGCCGCTGCTGATGCGCCGAAAAGGATCCCGTTACCTCGATAACGAAGCCGAGGTCGGCCTACCGGTCGCCCGGCGTGCGGTTCCGAGAAGGCGCGACCTTCGTCGAGTGAGCGGCAACGTCGCTTTTGAGGCCGCTTTTTTTTTTTTTTTTGTCCCGTTCTATCGCTCCGCGCTTTTTATAGTTCTGGAGCGGGGCTTTTCTCTAAAAGTCTGCACCGAACAGAGGTCAATACCGAGGCTGTCGAGGTACGAGAACCCGCGTTCGCTCCTTTAGCTCGTTACCACGACGATCGCAGTATCGTCGTGAAAGGCTAATCATGCACAGTCGCAAAGGACCAAGTGTTCATTCCTATTGCCCCACAGGCAGCTATGGAATAACCTCGTGTACCGTATCACGACCTACGAACAATGGACACGTTAGAGAGACCCACAGGACGCGAATTTCACCCCCTTTCTCCTGTAAGGAGAGGGTGTGCACGTGACGTCATCCGCAAGGAGCGCTAGTGGCAGGGTAGCCATGTTGGAAGTCCAAGCACCCGCTGCACGCGCAAAGAGCTCGGTGGACGCCCAGTGTCCCGAGATCCGCACGGCGATTTAGATTACTATAGAGACCTCTGGGACCTTTCTTTTGCACACCGACAGCAGGACGGCGCGTACCATGAGGCGTACCAACCCAGCAGGAAGTACGAACGGGCCTTCATAACGGAGCGGCCGTGGTGTCGCCGCCTTGCGATTCGAGACTCAACGAATTGCGTCAACAGGGTCATGCACCAATTAAATTTGTATAAAACTTCGCACCAAACGGAAATGATTTTCAACAAAGGCTTCCTGGGTGTCGAGTTAATGCTTACTGGGCTGTTATAGATAATATGTGTGACCCCTCCAAAAGTGCACTGGCGAAGCCATAACGTCATGATCAGCATTTGTGCAGACGGGATCACACTTGTCCGAAGCTGCTATCCCGCGTTAGCTGAAGGCTTCCGCTCACGCCTAGCTCACGACCTAGCATGCAGTATGAATATGCTAGGTATCATCACAGCGTCGGTCTCTGGATATTCGCGCTGAAAACTGTCAGCTGAAGCGGTCGGCCGGGCGCTCTAGAAAAAGTGCGGTCGCCTGCACACCAGTGCCACGGTCAGAAAGTGCGTTCACAAGCAAGTTACAAAGGTTTGTCGCACGCTGCAATTGCATTCTCTCCTCTTGCCCCGTCGAAGGCGCCGGAAGCTAAGCAAGGAGGGATGGCAGGGCCACAGAAAAACGTCTCAAGGTGCTTTGCGACCTTCAGTTCCTTTTTTTTTTCTTTTTCCTTCTTCGAATGCGCGGCTTTCTCAGTGTGATCGCGCGCGCACGCGTGAACAAGTAGCGGCCTCCCGCGGCGATCTCTGTAACGAGCGAGCGCGCCATGTCCAAATCAGCCTATGGCTGATGGATGGGTCATTGACGTGCGATTTTCGGGCATATAACGTGATTTGTAGAGAGAGGGAAAAGCAATTTTCAGCTGACTGATAATTTATTGTTAATTGCAGGCCGCGTGCTGTGCTGTAACATTTGGCTCGCGTGTTGTCGGGAGCCTCTACTACCGATCGGCAGCGTTTTATGACCAAGCTCAGAAAGTGTTGCAGGGCCCCTTTAAGTCAGGGGCCGAAGGCGTTGTGGAAAGCACATACATCGCTTCATTTTCGTTTTTGCATACACTTCGAAACAGCTTGCTTTTTAATTTACAAACGGGAAACGGAGGAAGGGGGGGAGGCAAGCGCTTCGGTGAGACTTCGTCCCCCTACCCATATCTAATTTGGGAGGGGGGGGGGGGGGGCTCCCTACGCCTGTGGGTGCAGGGTTTGGCGGGAGAAGCATTCCCATGTCTGACAGAAGCAGCTGACGAATGTCCGTTAACTCCTGTGGTAGGCGGTGTCTATACGCACACGTGTCAGGACCATAAGCAGTATTGTTTTCAGGGAGGGGGCGCGGCGGTGTGCCATTCCTTGTCAACGCCACTGACACGTGTTGTGTACGTATTATAGTACACAACTGCACCAATGCATGTACAGGCCGGAAACACGGCCGTCGCTCCTCGCAACCTACAGTTCCCCACTAGATTTCTGCACTGGCGCGGCCGCAATGGCGACGAAGTTGGAAAACGCAGGCCGCGTCTCCGACAATCAATGGGGCAACGTCAACGACGGCACGACTTCGCAATGAGAAGCTAAACCAGTTCAGCGCACGTAAAGTTGCTCACTGACCGCGAGAACTGAAGACGGCTATTCCGCCGTCGCCTACGGTAATCCAATCGCGCTTACTTGGCGCGCTGAACTACTGAAACGGAGCCGTACTTAATCACACTATGCATGCGCTTTATCCGATGACGTATACGTTCGAACATCCCTCGCTACAACTTGTGAGAACTGGCAAAACGAGTCGCTCACACACGGAAATCTTGAAATTTGACTATACGAAGAGACGTCTACGTAACCGAAGAAGCTTGAAAGAAAAAAAAAAAGGATGACCTTAATTTTCGGTCTGGCGGTCCCATGCCGCCAGATTAAAAATTATGGTCCAGACCCTTTCAAGCGACTATAACTTCGTT